CTAGATCGAAAACGAAGCACCCAAAAACTCGAAACCGGTCTGTCCTTTATAAACACGAGACCAATGCTAATACAGCAGGAATCAAGCACGATAACGAATTCTCCTGTTCCCCACCACAGAGCCTGGTCCCAGGCTGTTATCCTAGAACAAATTCTGCCTGGATCTGATCTGATCTGATCTGATCACGCAGTGACATAGATATCCAATATGTTAGACTGCAAAACAATCGGTTTTTTTCTCAAAATCAGTAAAGAAGTCGGTAAAGCGTGGCGTAAGAGTAATACGCGCGAGCCTCACACTCCGTTTTCAGCCTCGTTTCAGACCTTTTGTGTTACTGCTCACGCGTACTTGAATACGCCAAAATCTGCTGACGGACAGTTTTGAAGTCTACATAAACATGAATGTGTACCGAAAAAATGCATATTAAGGTAAGATGTATCAAGTATAGCGAGACTAATATTAAAATTAATACAGGATATCCTATCTAGAAACGTTCAGTGAAACAGTTGGTTATAAAACCTTGGGATGGATTTTGTGGACCTTTGAAGGTGCGGACGCATCCACTGCCTCCACCTGATTCGGATTGCGTCATGTAAGACGTAAAGTTGCACTTATTAAACCTACAGCAGTTTCGAGTTTTCGTTTTCGAGATTTAGGGGTCTTCGTTTTCGAGTTTTGGCTGCTTCGTTTTCGAGATTTTGGGGTCTTCGTTTTCGAGATAGGGTGCTTCGTTTTCGAGATTTGGGTGCTTCGTTTTCGAGTTTTGGGTGCTTCGTGCTTCGGTCTTCGTTTTCGAGTGCTTCGTTTTCGAAACTACCTGAACAGTGGTTCTCTTTCGTTTTTCTCTCGCGCGAAGGTTACTCAGCCACTACACAGTGCAAGACGTGTAGCATTCTAAACTTTGACTGAGTAAATCTTGTTTTTGCCGCACTAAGTCTTATATTTAGAGGTCATGAAGCAGGTTTGTTACATGCATACTGAGTAATCATTTCCTGTGGTTTATGCTTCTGTACTAGGTGTCCCTGACAGGATTTGATTTCAGATGCAGTTGTTAAGTGTTTTATATCCTTTGACCTCTGTTTATTACGGCTGAATAAAGATTTTAGTTTTTTTGGTTTTCTCCGAAATGACTGTATCTGAATAAATACATGCATGCATGCAAGTTTCTTTGTCCGTGAATGTGATTATTTCCTGCCATGTCAGTATGACTCTGGGTCCAGCTCTATAGTATAGTGTGGTTTGCAGGATTTTGAATTTCCACGGATAGTGCGATCTTCAGATTTGAGTTGTACACTGTAGCTTAAAAACTACAGATGGCTCGCATGGCTCGCTTGTATGACTCGCATGGTTCGCATGGCTCGCTGGCTCGCACTCTATCCAAACTCTCACGGGAACGCGCGAGCGAGCGGCGAAGCCGCTAGGGGCAGAGGAAAGGTCCTTTCCTCGTCCCCTCGCTCGCGCGCTTGCTTTGCTCGCCCAAATGGGAGAGCTTGCTCGTAATTGTTCGCAGGCTAAGGAAACCTGGGGACGAGGTTGAGTTGTTTTGGTTGTTTAAACAAAATGGCGGAACTGTCGGGCGGACATTGTACTCGTCTTACGAGGAAATTGTCTAAAAACATAGCAAGAACAGCGAGAAGTCAACTCGACGGACAACATCTGCTCTTTGGAGTATATTTGCAGACCTGAGCATACCTTTATCTGCTAAATTTCCCGAAAAAGATGCACTATCGATGCGAACTTAACATCGACCGAGGTAAGCATTTTTAGCTTGTTTTTAAAGATGGAATTATTTTGAATGAATAATAAAGCAATTATTGAATTCGGCTATCGCAGGATATGAAGAATTCTGCAGATCTCGGAGGGTGTTATGCCCCGAGGCCGAAGGTGGAGGTGGATAACACCCTCCTCGATCTGCAGAATTCTTCATATCCTACCACAGGTGGCCCAAGCGTAACATGAGAGTTTGTATGGGAAAAATAGATGAAATAAATGAAGTAAAAGCGATAAAAGTTATCAATAAAGTGTAAATATTGTTACCTGGAGTCGTTGTCTTTGTTTTTACGAAGTTTCAGCGCGATTTGAGTACTTTTACATCATATGACCTGTCAGTGTAATAATCAAATCGCGCTGAAACTTCGTAAAAGCAAAGACAGCGACTCCAGGTAACAATATTTACACTTTATTGATAACTTTTATCGCTTTTACTTCATTTATTTCATCTAAGTTTCAAACTCTATTTTTCCCATACAAACTCTCATATTACGCTTGGGCCACCTGTGATCCTACTCAGCCTCATTCAATAATTGCTAATTATTATTCATTCAAAACATTTCCCCAATTCTGATTGGCTAAAAGCACATGCATGATTAACAATTAATGAATGAGGCTGAGTATCTTATGAAGAATTATGGAGATCTCGGAGGGTGTTATCCATCAAGGCCGTGGGCCGAGGCGGTTAACACCCTCCGAGATCTCCATAATTCTTCATATGATATACGAAAGCCAAATTCAATAATTGATTTATTATTCATTCAAAATAATTCCTAGTTTAAAAACATGGCTAAAACCTGCCTACCTCCATCGATCCATGGATGTTAAGTTCTGTTCATCTTCGATAGTGCACGTTTAGGATTGTTCAGCTCTGCAAATATTCTCCAAATAGCAGATGTCGCCTTTCGAGTTGTCTTCTTACTGTTCTTGCCATGTTTTTAGCTATTTTTTGCCTAGTTCTTACTCTTGAAACGAGTGAAATGTCCGCCATTTTTTGTTTTCACAACCAAAACAACTCAACCTCGTCCCCAGGTCTTCTTGGTTAACGGTGCATTTGATGACCAAATTTGGAAGAATTTTGTGTTTAACGAGGAAATGATGTCAAAAATGCAGCCTTCTAGAGGTTAATGCACCGTTAACTGAGAAGACCTGGGGATGAGGTTGAGTTGTTTTAGTTGTGAAAACTAAAACGGCGGACACTTCACTCGTTTCAAGAGTAAGAACTACAGCTGGAAGTAGGCAAAATAATGGCTAAAAACATAGCAAAAACAGCAAGAAGACAACTCGGAGGGCGACATCTGCTAATTGGAGAATATTTGCGGAGCTGGACAAACCTAAACGTACACTGTCGAAGAGAAACTTAACATTGATGTAGGTAAAGCATGTTTTAGCTATGCTTTTAAACTAGGAATTATTTTGAATAAATAGTAAAGCAATTAACGAATGCGGCTTTCGTAGGATATGAGGAATTAAGCAGATCTCAGAGGGTGTTATCCACCTCGGCCTTGAGCCTAGGTGGATAACACCCTCCTCGATCTGCTTAATTCTTCATATCCTACTCAGCCTCATTCATTAATTGCTAATTAATTGATTAATATCAAGTGCACACTGGTAGAATTATTCCTTTCTTCCCCAATATATACATACTAATTTTTCAGATTAATCTCTTTACATTTCCTTAAGAATTGCTAATACAACAAATCAAGGATAAATTTCACTTTGGTCATCATTTTGTTAATTCCTTTGTTTTTTTCTTGTGTAGAGACATTGGATATTGTCAAGAAAAAATTACTATTGGTCACTCCTGGGACTTAATTAAATAGGTTAAAAGGAATTTTGTAGATATTAGTAGATTTATCAGTGAGTGTGCATGGATTAACACTGGAATAATTCTACAATTTTAAAGCAAAATCACTGGGAGTTTTCAGTTTGTCATGTGTGGTCTAGTGGACACCAAAAAGGATGCAAGATGTATCAGATGCTGGTGCATTTAAGCCTAGGAAAGTGCAGTAACAATTCCTTCTTTTTTATGTGTAATGGATGAGCAAAGGAGAAAAAAATAATGAATTAAAGGTATAACAAATTTTCAATTCCTTAGAAAAAATACCTGATGCAGATTTTTTACCGGAACAACCCCTGCCCGGGCTGGGCGGCTGGGGGGCACTGCCAAATAGGGGCTATATAGGTATGTGCCGCTGTGAAAGGTATGGTTTTCAAGCAGTTTACTCTGTCATAGGATATATAGATCAGAGAGTTTAGGTCTACAATAGGGATCATTTTCCAGGAAACTGTTCAATAGATCATTTTCACTGTCATGCAATAAACGCAGCACAAAAAAATAAATGGAAACCGTCCAATGGATGAAGCCAAGAAAATGAAATGTCATAAAAGACTGATATCTAAACAATAATTATTTGTCCAAGTCTCAGGTCTCTGTAGCCCACAGTTTCTGAGTTATTTGCCGAAACGTTTCACACACCATTGTAGAGCTTTGTATGGAGAGGCCATATTGGTGTACAGTTGTGGTGCACAGATAATGGCCACCGCAAATCAACAAAACCATCTAGAGTTCACTTTTTCTGTATAAGCTCTTTCTTTTCACTCAAGAGCTCACATACGTGCACATAAACACATCTTCTAATACTTAAAATGGTTAACCTGCTAAAAGTCAGAGGAGAGACCCTTTTCCAATGAGACAGCATTCCTATTTTGATGTCATGCACTGTGAAAACTCTGAAGATCAAATTGCTGCATTTTTGAAATGAAACATGCGACGGGACTGGAAACCTGAACAAAGATTTATTTTTTGTTTATCTTCAACATAGTGTAAATAAGAATTTGTAAAACTTCGCTATTTTGACTTTACATCTATTGGTTGAAGATTTTCGTCTAGCCTAGGGAAACCGAGAATTGCTGCTCAAAAATACATATTAAAAAAAATCAAATCGGCAAGTTGAAATTTACACAAGTCAGCCTAGAAGCTACTCTAGGATAGGGGGGATTTGGGGACGGGTAGCAAAATTCAGCTGAACTGGCTCTGTTATAGGCCAAGGGTTCCAGGGTCCCAGCAGCACATCTCAACCCAAAAATTGCAAATTGGGCCTGATCTCAGCTTGGCTCACCCTCCCAACAATCCCTCAGGACTACTAGCAGTCTGCAAAAAATGAGTGGTTAGGTGCCACTTTTTTAACGATGAAGCATGGGTGATGGAGTGACAGACATAACCTTAATCACAAAGTCATACCTTCTTTGCTTGGGACAATCTCCATCATTTTGTCCACAAGTTTATCACATTGTTCTTTCCAGCAATATTTTCTCATGTACTCTTCCCGAAGCTGCTTTGCCTCACGAGTCAGTTGTGTTCGTCCCTTGTCCCTGAGTTCCCTGATCTTGTCTGCCCATTGCTGTGGGTCTTCTGAATCCAATATATGCATTCTTCCTGATGGCAACTTCTTTAGTGCCATACCAAATCCACTGTTTCCGCTGCTGAGGACAGGAACACCCGCAGAAATGGCACGGACACAACTTGTTCCAAAACCCTCTGCTGAAGGCAAGATGACAAGATCAACTTGGCACAGCTGCTTTCTCCATTCTTCATTACTCCTGGAGACAGGTCTGATATTGAGTTGATTAAGACTAATTAACCCCTCAAGTTTGTGTCTTAGATACCCAGTATCATCATCAGGTAAAACAACAAATGTAAGATGGTATGATGAGTCCTGTAATGATTTGATTGCTTTAGCCGCAATATGGCAGCCTTTAATTTCAAAATACTTTGATGGATATGTTGCACTGATCAAGACACAAAACTTTTCTCCACCATCACTCATGTCCTGAACACCAAGAAGATCATGAATTATTCCAGGTGTCATTGTTATCACATTTTTCTGCTTCTCACACTGACGCAGAGCAGTTTTGTAAGCATCAGCCACCTTAGGGCCTATTGCAATCACAATATCAGCTGCTTCACAAAGAGCCAACTGCACCTCATGCTCAGGCTTCTTCTCTGAATCAGCTTTACCTAGGTTGGATGCTTTCTTCACATATAACTCCAAGTCTTCACTGATGGTATGAACAACATGAAACCACTTGCACTTCTTTTTTTCCTTTATAACTTGGGCTTGCTTCCCGAGGTCAGACGGATAAGAGTGGATAATAAGGACATCAACATCAAGACTGTCAGGAGGGTATGCAATGAGGTCCTCTTCTGTGTAATTACCAATCATCTTTTTTGAATCTACCAGTTCAATATTTGACTTTTTAGCCTCAAGTCTCTGTTCTTGGGTATTCCTTGGTACAAGTCCATACACCTTCAGCCTTGGGTTTTTGGCTAGTTCACTGGTTAACTGTTCATTTGCTACAATGTTCCAGCCCTTGGCAGTTGTAGCAACTGTTATATTCAGTACGCATTCACTCTTTGGAGGGGTGTAACATGAGTCTGCAAATTTGGAATTAATTAGAACACTCTGTCGATACAATCATCAATGGAATCAATATTATTTTTTAATTAATACAGTTGACTCCCAATAACTCGAACCCTCGCTAACTTGAACCTCGCGCTAACTCGAACCAAAATCGACTTCCCCTGGATTTCCGTCATACATTTACTGTAATTTTACCCTCGGTAACTCGAACCCTCGATAACTTGAACTCCCGCTAACTCGAACAAATTTTCGTTTCCCCTCAGGTCATTTTCTATATTATTTTACCCTCCATAACTCGAACCATGTTTTGAGCACTTAAAAAGTTGGGAAAAAAGCCATCTACTGGCGTCCGAAACATTGAATTTTGGATTTCCTATTAACGTGTTGTAGGAGTATAGTTTACTAATGGAGGCTGATGTTGATTGTCACAGGCTAACTTGAAGCAGCTTTACTTCTCAAAACAGTAAAACGCATGCTCTATTTAAGCTATGTTTTGTTACGTTACATTCTGATTTATAATCTAGAAGTATCTTTTAATTTTCACTTGACATTTCTAAAATTAAATGTGATTAAAATGTTCACTGTGCAGTAAAAACTGTTTTCTCGGCTATTTTCTTTGAGCTCCCAATAACTTGAACTTTTTTCGATTTCCGTTGAAGGTTTGAGTTATCGGGAGTCGACTGTATTGTTAAAAATATGTATCGGTCAAATTGAAGCTTCAACATCTTTCAGGTGTACCCCACGCATTTGAAACCTTTGCCTTCTCAAGGATAGGGAATATGCTGATCATAGTCTTCCAGGGGGTGGGGAATTTGATTCTGAGCACAAGGGGTGGGCCATATGAACCCTGGCTTCAATTTCTCATTTGTTGAGTGAACCTAATCGAGAAGAATAATGTTTCGTTCCCAGCCGCTACAAACTGTTAAAATAATAATCGATCCAAAGTCGTTTTGATCCAAACAGAAGTTGTTTCGATCTATCAACAAAGTCGATTCGATCCAGATAGAAAGTCGATTTGATCCATCCTAAGTCATTTAAAAACAAACCAGAAACGAACACAGTAACAGCCCTAATAAGTGATAAACACAGTCACAGCCCTAGTAACAGCACTAGTAACCGATAAACACAGTCTAATTAAAGACGCTCCGTGATTGCCGAAGTTAATATTATTGCAGCTATCAAAAGTTTCATCTTTTTATGGCAACAGGGTTAAAACTGAGATAGGGAGTATAAATATTATTATAGATATTGCTCATGGTTAATGGATTAAAACAAACTCTAAACTGTGAATTAAACAAAGACAGCGAATTTGGCATGTTAGCAAGCGGTATCCAGTCGTTTTGCCTACGGTCTGTTTGCCTACAACTAGAGTCGATTTGCTCCATTGAAACTCCTCTGGAGAATGCCAATTAAAATTCATCGGTGAGCAGATCAAAGAAGAAAACCACGAAGCAGAGAGCATCGCTTAGCACAGCAAAGGCAACATCGTCAACACAACGACCACAAACGTGTGCAGAGGCAGCGACAAAATACTACAATTACATTGTACACGAAACCGGTGAAGAGAGGGAACACGGACTGCCGACGCTTCCAAAAGTGACAAGACTGGATCAGGCAACACTTAAAGTTTACAGTCAAAATTATCTTCTTTGATGCAGCGATAGGTAGCAAGAATTATGCACATCAAGAATATCTTTCTAACGGACTCAGGACAGCCGATAAGCCTTTACATGATGAGCAACAATGGGTTTTACAGTACCGATAATGTGTGACATGTTTAGGGAAGAGTTACAATTAACCATGAGGAGCCCTGACAGAGGACAAATATGGGAGAACATTGCAGCAGCACTGAATTCTCTTCAGCAGCTCGAGATTGGGATTCACTTTAACTTCAAAACAAAAACAAAAGCTGCGCGACGAAGAGAAGGCCTCCAAAATCGAATAATACAGGTCGTAAAGAACAATAATTATTAATTCGCCATCATCGATTTAACCATCATCATAGCTTATGAGATGCAAATTGTGAAGGCCTTTGAATTCCATAACAAGACTGTAACAGGACAAACTTCTTCACAAAGAAAAAGTCGTCGTCTGTCTGGCAAGCTGCACTGCTTAAACTTCATTTTCCCCACCAAAAACAAAACCCTTGGCCCAGTCTGCCTTGGTTACGAAGCCTCGTCGTCATCCGTTTCATTGTCGATGCTTAAGTCCGTTTCAGAAAGTTGTCAAAATTTTATCTAAAACTTTCGTCAAGTGGCAACGGTAAGGCGTGTAGCACTGTAATATTTTCGCAGGCAGTATATTAGATTTTGTTGAGTTTGAAACAGTAATGAGAATAAACACCTCCTATCCATTAAATGCCCACATTTGAACCCCTAAAATTAAATAGACCCAGCCCCAGGTGTTTATTAGGCCATTTACGGTATGTATGTCCTTAGTCTGAACTTTAAAACCTGTTATTTCGCATATTGTGGAGGAAGCCACACCACTGTTGGTATTTTACTATTGTATTTCAATTTTTTTTCTGTCATTTTCCCATCTCTGTCATTTCTGCAGTCCTTTGTCGCTATATCACTTGTCAGAATTTTTACCCTAACAGGGACTCATAAAACATTCCTATCAGAAACTGCAAACACTTGCAACTGATAGAGAAACAACTGTTACTACAAGAAATCTATAAAGAACCTTCACTTAGAATACCAAATATCATATGAACAAAGATGGTCACTGAATAATTTACTCTTAAAAGCAAAACTTTGAGAAAAGCATTTGTGGAAAGCGTGAGTCAGACTTGCCAATGACAACATAGTACATAACTGTGTTGTAGTGCTGGTGACCCAGCCACTGAAATGGGCCTTGCTTGCACATTGAGTAAACACATACTTGCCATGCAGGCCAATGGGAGGTTTACAGTTTAAAAATTGGAGAATGTGGAGACACAAATGCACCAGTTGACAGCTTTCCAAGACTTTAGATATTTCAGTTGCACTTAGTTGGATATTTCCACTTGAACAAATGGTTTTTGCACAGGAAAATTTTCAAATAGTCACTGATGCGTGGGGGATTTGATGCTTTTTGAAAAGCTAACTGTTGGGGCATCAGCCTGTGTCACAGACATAACTAAACTCTTGTTAAGTCCCTCCGTAAAACAGCACCGAAATCCTTGTTCAGGGCCCCCAGCTGAGTACCAGGATTTGAGTAAGTGCCATGATTGGCCTGTTAAAAAAGCCATTTTCAATTTCCCAATGAAGATAAAACAAAATTTAAAATGCACTTTTGGTAATTTGTTGAGTCCATTGGGGACCCAGACCATTGGCTCGATTACCAGCCACTGTTCGGGAAATGAATCTATACTCCTCCCCTGAACCAATGGCTGGACGTACAAGTGTATGAGTTTGCTATTGTCAATTACCACCAATCAGATCATTACCTGCTCAAATCCAGCAGGCACCATAACTTTATGTTCCTGGAGCAGATTTCAAACGGTGGATGCAAAGGTGTTGTTTTATGTGGCGTGCAATCGTTTTAAAACTTTAAAAACTGAAATATTTATAAAGAAAAGCGTTATCTTAGAGAAGTTGGCAAATGGTAAGTATGTTTTTGAAATTCAACCAACAGATTGTGGATCATTAATTATTTTCCAGTCTGTAACGATGGTTGTTGAAAGCTAATGTGAAGGAGATGACTGTCAAGTCCATTTCTGTGGTAATTTCACTCCAAACTTCACTAAAGAAAGATCAATGTAAACATCTGAAATCAGTACATGTTTCTGCTGATTTTTATGGCGAATACCAAAGCAACCAAGAGGCAAAGCACAGCAAGTCTTTGGTATTTAATGACATTTCCCATTTCCGTTGTTTGGTAATGATGCATAAATTAAACTAAATTTTGAATTTACGTCACAGACATGATAGGCCACTCACGCATCCAGCCGTCTCTTCTCTGGGAGGGCCGAAGAGAGCGGTGGAAATCAAACCTACCCAGAAAAAGGATATTGGCGCTGTTTCACAGACAAGAAAATTAAAATTACATCTGCAACTCACGCTAGCAGGGTATTGACCAATTAAACTGCTGACATACCGGGAAATTTCACCGAAAATTTTCCAAAAAGTCAAATGTCCGGGGGTTTTTCCGGGGGGGCATGGGCGGTTTTGAATTGACTGATACATAAACAATAGCTGAAGAATGCTTATTATATTATTATTATTGTATCCCTATTTAGGCTTCGGTCACTGCAACTAGTCGTTAAAAAACTGGCCACGTTCTCTCAATGCAATGTTGGCTTTCTTTTTTTTTTTACTTAATACGAAAATAAGCTACTAAACAACTTCATTGATTCATTGACTTAAGTTATATATTGGTCCAGTCGACATGTCGTCTTTTGCTTACGTGCAAATATTAAAGGAAATAAATGCATGAGAAATGACAATAGTGACCGTAGCAGCTCCACCTTTCAGGCGGTCTGATCGCTGAGATCGGTGATACCATAAAAGCACAAATCTTCTTTGATTTGAAGTCATGGTAAAATTCTAGAATACGCGTCTTTTAAAATGGCAGAAATATTTGTAGTATACTTGCGCATGGATTGAACAATTTAATAACAGACAATATCAACTTACCTACGGAACTTTCCATGTCAAGTCAAACCCCCAAGAATATCAGCTAGCCACAATGACCAGAAGAGAAATTTCCGAAAGGGTCCAAACATGGCGACTCTTGGGCGCTGGGCCTATAGGGACTGGGCACTAGGTCTGGTTGACCGTCTGAGTTGTCGTCTGGGTAACTTGTGGGCGATATGCGGGAAACCATTTTTGCGACTGGTCTCGTCTGTGTGTGTGCCGCCCGGGACTCCAAATTGGCACCCCGTTCTAAAAAAATTTCCCCTAAGATTGATACCCCATTCTACAAATAGGCCAATTTTTTATACCCCGTTTTAGAATTCGCCCTAAAACTGATACCCCGTTCTAGAAATGGGCCAATTTTTTATACTCCGTTCTAGAAAGTTTGTAAATTGAAATAGCCCTGTTTTTAAAAAAAGATATTTCTTTATTTGTTCGACTTATACATCAAATAAATGCTTCTTCATAATCAGCAACAATTTTGAGCAGAAGGTAAAGCCGTGATCCACAATTTTTTATACTCCGTTCTAGAAAACGCCTCTGAAGGGATACCCCGTTCTAAATCAGGAGCTTCAAAATCACGACCCCGTTGGGCGGCACATACCCGTATTGCTGGTTTTCAGTGTCACACCATTCAAATGAGATCAAAATAAAAATCAAAACCATTCGACAGATAAAGTCCAGAATCTGGGAAATGAAAGGAGGCAAATATACAAAGACCGTCGCCAAGATTTGGGTCGAAGGAATAATTCGTATACGATCGAGATATCCCAGGAAATGTTTTACCCAAATTTATAGAGCTTTGTATGGAGACGCCATGCTGGAGCTCATCCGGATGAGCTCCAACATGGCGGACGGAAACCAGCAGAAACATCTGTTACCGAGTTTGCTACAAAAGCGTGAATTTACTCCTAGAGGAACTCACAAACATTAAAGTAATACTTTTTCTAATACTTGAACTGTTTAGATAGCAAAATTCCACGAAAAAAGTCACTTTTCTAACTTAAATGATAGCTCTTTCGGCCGTCATGTAAGTGCTGCGTCACGCAAAAGCTTAGAGATTCAAGCGTACTCTATTACAAAACCAAGAACCCTTTTGAAGCGAAAATTTGTTTGAAAATTATTTTTCAGCTGCTCTAATACACAGTGAAAGTAAAATCTCAGTAGGATCGATAGTTTTGTAGTTTGAATTTTAGTGACGTCATGTGAAAACCAACAATATGGGAGTACCCCCCCCCCCCCCCCGCCGGGCCTTTTCGCTTCTGTGTGGTCGGAATAACATTATTAAATCCAGCAAAAAGTACCACCCGTATTTTTCGATGAAAATTTTTTCTCGGCAGTCTAATCTGGAAGTCCTTCCTTTTTATTTACAGAGTGAGGAGAAATTGTATACAAAAAAATTGTTGTGATTGAAATTTTTCATGACCATCTGAAAAAGACGTTAAAATGGTTTGTTTCACTCCTTGATGATTTATGCGATATTCAGACTAGGAGGGAGGGGCCATCCCAGTTCTCTACGTGTATTGTAGCCAGCCACATACATTTTAAAAAAATCGCACAATTTACAAGATATTTTTAAATTGATTGTTGCCAGTTTGTTAAAAAGTGGACCCGGAAACACTTTTAAACCTTATTTTCTATATGAGAGATAATTATTTTATTTTATTTTATTAGCTTCGCCGAAGAAACAAAAAAAACATACAACGTTATTAAACTGTAAATTAAGAAGGGGGTTGGCAAGAACACTGCAACAGCTGAGGCCAATTACAGCAGGCCCTGTTAAAATAAAAGGAGCCGGTGTGAAATGTTAAGAATGACAAAATCTGAAGAAAAGAGACTCTGTGAGAACCTGGAACAGGCTTTATTGGTAGTGGTGGATCTAGCTAGTCCATCTGTACTTGCGAACATCAGGTAGGACAGAGGGGTCTACGTTGACAAAACAATGTGTTACTTTGAAAAAGAAGATAAGGTCCAACAGTTCGTCCCAATGGCAAATAGGTAAAAGATTTAAAGTTTGTAGACGAGAATATTGTAGCTTATAGTTGAAGAATAAGGCAGGTTTAAAATAAACCTAATGGAGAGTCTTTGAATGCGCTCAAGTTTAGCAGTGAGTTCAATGGACTGCGGTGCCCATATTTGCAAAAATTTTGTGATTTGCGAACAGTCACAATGCTTGGAGCCAATCAGATTTCAAGCATTACGGATGAAATAAAGGATAAATAAAAACGCCCTTGAAACAGCTTCCTGAGAAAAAAAGACGTGAATCTTGAATGAATCAGTAAATGCAATAATTACCAGCAATGGGTTTCTTGGCATATTCCTCTTGGATCTCTCGGGGATATCTTAACATAGAAAGGAAATTAGAGCCCCGCCTTATTACCGTCCCGTTTATACGACCACCTATTTACTACGACCATATTCTTTCGACCCAAACGTAAAAGTCACTGAGTCTTTTTATTAGTTTGAAGTCCCCGTTAATGCTTCTACCTCGTTATTCCGACCAGGATTTTATGGCCCAACCGTGGTTGCATTAACCGAGTTCCACTGTACGTCTCATCCGGCATTGCAAGATTTACTATCTGATTTGATATAACACAAACACCCTACTCTCCGAAAACTAGAGGTGCACCATAACCTGCCGTTAAAATCTTTTACATAGAAGAAGCAGACAGTCATCGAATTGATATTATTTTTTATAAAAAATTTATCTTTAATTATTTAGGACGAAATACATCCAGATACTAGCACGACCTTAGACTAAGGCCAAACGTCATGAGGCGTACCAAATTGCCATTTGGCCTGAATATAGTTAAGTTCAACTGCTGGATCAAAGTCGAACGTTAAGCCTAGAACTAAGTTGAAAAGAACAAAAAATTTCCAGGCGCAAAAGAGTTTACAGTCGTACGGACAGTTTTCGTTGTCCCGACGAACAGCTTAATATCTTTTCAACTGAATAATGCTCAGCATTTTTTTACACCATCTATCCTTCTGAAGTGGACGGATCTGAACTTGCTTGTCCATTGAAAACTCAGTCAGAGGAACTTAGTCTGAGAAAAACTTAACTCACTTCGAATGGTTCGCCGCACGAAAAGTTCGACGTTTGGCCTTGCCCTTATTCTAGGATATAGCATTGTTTTACAATACTTCAGGTTAAAAAATTTTAAAAGTTAAATATAATGTAGCCTATATCATAAAATACTCTATATAATGACAGGAGGCTACGCCTACTGTTAATGTGAGATTGTTTTACTGTAAAATTAAATATAATTGCTTTTGACATACAAGGGCACTTGTTGCCTAAGTCATCAGCCTATCATATTTCGACGCAGTCATTGACAATTTACCTCAAAGAGACCAAAGATTGCTCACCAGGAGGGCCTTAATCCATCTAGGGTTGCCATACTGTAAGGAAACCTATATATGTTACCATAAACAACTAAAATAACACCGCCATACCTTTGGCAGAGAAAGGGTTAAAAACTATCATCCAGCGGTAAACCCTGCGCTCTTGTGAAGCGCTTGTCCATTGCTTGTAAAAAAAACTGGTTTAGAGTCCTGAAACAAAAACTTGAAGTTTTGATTCACGAACGCTTTCAGCCTGTGAGCAAGATCTCCGTTTGGGGAGGTCGCGAGTGGTCACGCGAGAGCCGCACGCAATAAGAGACGCGATTGCGAGGAGTGGAGCGTGTTCTCTCGCGGCTAGCTTTGCTCGCCACACTTGGAGAGGTTTGTTCGCAAGCTAGAATGCTTTTGAAGTAACACACATTTGTATGTTTCATGTACACTGGCTCTCTGTTTTCCGAAACTCTGAGCAAATAAGTAAAGGCCTCGTCCACACGTATCCGGATATTTTTGAATCGGCAACTTTTTCTTTCCGGGTACGGCTTCCGTCCACACGCATCCGGCGAATTCGGCAGCGAATCCGGATATTTTCGAATCCGCTCTCCAGGGCCCAGTTGTTCGAAGGCCGATTAGCGCTTAACCCAGGGTTAAGTTTAACCCGGGCTTCTTCTTCTTTTGTTCAAAAGCCTTTTCTTAGATAATTGTCCCGTTTCTTTTTAAGAGCATGCGATCATCAACTTGTTGACAAAAAGAATTAAACTAAATTTGCTTTTGAAGCTTTCACATCTGAATTCAAATTTTGCGCTAACCCTGGGTTATCTTAACCCAGCTTTGAACAACCCGGCCCAGAGAGGAAAAAAAATAAATCCGCAACGAATTAGCCTGAGTATCAGGCCTTCCTAAGGGGCTAGGGGAGAGGAGATTTTAGATGGGGGAGGGGCTCTCTCCCTTTCGCTTCCGACCAGGCGGTGTGCGTCACGACCCGCAATACGTGATGGGTAAAAATGTGGTAAAAATGTGGCGGCGCTCATTTCTCGCTTGACACCAGCGAGTGAACATCTCAGCGAGCTCTTGGCACATACAGAGACAATAGAATGGGAATTAAAACCTTGCTTCCTTTTCTGAAAGACGTCACTGAAAACAGCTATTTAGACAGTTTTAAAGGTCTCGTGGCGGCCGTAGATGCGTCTTGTTGGTTACACAAGGCCATTGCGATCAGTTATTCGCAATTCGGAGACGATCGAAGGTGAGAACTTTTAATATGAAAGTTTTACTATGTCTTAATTTGTATTGCATTTTAACTAATGTTTTTACTTCTTAGAGTGAAGGAGATCTGCAATTCTTATCTGGATCTACTGGAAAGGAATAAAATTCGACCGTTGGTCGTGTTCGACGGATTGCCGCTACCGGGCAAGGACAGAGAGCGTGATAACAGAGCAATGTGAGAGAATTTTTTTGCATTGACAGTTGAAGCTCAGTTCAAATATTTAAGCCTTTTGTCTAATTTTCTTTAGTAGAAATGATTTTTTTTCAGCAGACATTGATCTCCCATAAATCTTCTTCCTTTAGGCAAAAAAAAACAACAACAGCAAAAAGCTGACCAACTTCGGCGCAGTGGAAAGGTGACTGAGGCAAGAAACGCTTTGGCTGCAGCTGCAGAAATTAACCACGATCTCGTCTGTGGGTTTATTCAAGTAAGTCTAAGTCTCAATTTTGGCATAAAGTTTATCATTTCAGTAAGCTTAAAATACATTTTTTTCTAGACTTCTTAATAATTAAATATTGTATTGTTTTTAATTAAAAATTGAATGACCTCGTTAAGATAATTTTTTATTCTTTTCATTTATAGACTTGCCGACAAAAGTCTATTGATTATGTGGTAGCTCCGTACGAGGCTGATGCAGAGATAGCATTACTTTATGAGCATGGCTATGTAGATATTGCAATCTCAGAGGATTCCGACCTTCTTGCTTATGGATGCCAAAAGGTACATTGAATATACTCAACCAATGCTCGCCTTTCCTCCACAGACCAAACTGGGGACTGAGGTGGATGAGGGACCTTGAAGATATTAAATAAATGGTAACATAAGTAAACCTACATATAAACACACAAACAAAAAGACATCCTTGATAAACCCTGTGGTGGAGGTGGCTGGTGTAACATCTCTAAAGCCACACTTTATTTTATGATTTTTTTTTTAAAATTTTGTCAAATGTTTCATTTCATCACAGTGCGAGTGTGAAAACATAAAATTACTGCTAATGTTATCTGAGTAAAACTACAAGAAATAATGGATTCTAATCCACAATCTATGGATACTGGCCAATCTCTTGTTGGAGGCTACATTTGTACATGTATAATTTATTCACACGTGAAAAACATTCTTCAATAATGACAAATAAGTATCTTATAAAAGACCATTTAACTGACTCAAATACAAAATCAGAAGGAATTCGTGTAATTCGACTCTTTTTACCTTTTCTGGCTTGAAATTAAACAAATTCTTTCTCGATTTGATGTTATTTTGACCTCCAGTTCTGTTGACTTTACCAGCCGGTTTCCCGGGAGTGGAGCCACTTGGCTGGGTCGATCTCTTCATACCAGTGTGTCCTCCACGGCCTCTAGCGGGAAAACCCGACGGGGTAGACCCAGGTAGACCCCGAAATTGTCAAAGAAGACTACTTAAACTCACTAACGGACCGAAAATATTGACAACAATCAATAACAGTAAGGAGCTACAAGTCCAAGAAAAGCAGTGAAATTTACAACCAAAACAACATGGCGTCTCACACGAGACCGTCACCTTTGAAATGGTCGCAAAGCCGAATAAACGTTTCTTCTTAAAAAATAACTGCACCAGCACTAAGATAAATTAATTCGCTAACTTTATAGCGAATTTTGATTAAGAAAAAATGATTACAATCTTCAAAAACGACGAAAATCTCAACTCGTGTACCTCTCAAAACTGCTCTTCTCGAGCACGAAATCTACTCCGAAAATAACGCATTCTGATTGGTTAAATCTCGTGACGCACACCGCCTGCTTCGCTTCCATCTTTCCCCTTTTCCCCAGAACCGATGACGTAGCAAAATCGTGTCCAGTCTCTTACCGAATAATAAACCAATATGGCGGCACAACGTGTAGCCCTAATTTCTCTTCTTCCCGGACTCATTTCAAGTCTTGTAGCCTGTATGCAGGTAAATTTAGCCATGTTAACTGTACACGTAAACTATGTGAAACAGCGGGTCGACATTGTCAAGCTTCTATCGGTGTCTGATTGACGAATCGGACGCCAAAGACACGCCAAAGACAGTTGAAACGGCTGGAAACACCCGGGTGGGAACACAACCCCGTCGCCGACGATTGGTGATCGAGTGTGCCTTTATGAAGCTGAAGGGAAGAAAGTTAGAAGAATTCTCTCCAACTAGCTCTGGGCTCTAGAGTGAATCCGGGTACCATCGTATGCGTGTGGCCGGACGGGCGAATTCGATTGGATTTGACTACGTGTGGACCGAGAAATTTTTGAATCCGGAAAGAAAAAGTTGCGGATTCAAAAATATCCGGATACATATGGACGGGGCCTAAGATAACTGATTTGAAATTCGCATTTAGCATCATGGTAACCTATTAACATTTTTAAAAATTATTACCATAAGATTATTATAAATCATTATTTCTATTTATACCTTCACTGTTCACTGTAAATGACATTATCGTACTCAAAACATTTAGTTATAAAAATTATCGGGCATTTGATAAAATACCAAAAATCATTCTTTCACATTTTAGAAATTAGTCCTGGATATTCCCAATTTTATACCTTGAAAACTATCAAGTTCTTGTTTCCTTTACATGTAAAATCTTCCGTGACAGGGGGAGTTCCACTCTGAGTAAAAAATGACCAGACAGTGTGTACACTTACAGTACAGTTAAGGGGGAGTTCCACTCTGAGTAAAAAATGACCAGACAGTGCGTACACTTACAGTACAGTCATGTAGCATTATGTTTTCCAATGCTTCATCACTCAATTTTTGTTGCAGTTATTTTGAATATCCCTTTTCAACCCAGTCCTCCAGAATCTCTACAACGTCCATCCTGTGCATGTATTCGTTCTTTAACATTTCAATAAGCTTCTCCACGGTTGGTTCTCGAGTTGTTTGCCACCAACGAGTAAGAATTTTATGGGTCGGATTTGAGTTTCGCGGCTGTGCACAAAATTCTATATAGTCTCTTTCAATTTCCATTAGTTCTCCAAGCATTCGGAAATCGTTGAAGTGAAGGTCACTTGTTGTATTCAGTTTCAAGCAGATCCTACCAAGAAGAGCATAAGGAATGTTTTTGACATTGGTTGACAATCTCGACCTCTTCGTTTGCGGACCAATACCTGCATCGACTGCATCATGTGCAATGTTCTTTTGGGCCAAAGAATCAGATTTCTGATCTGTAACACCAGTCTCTTCTACACTTGTCTTTGTAACGCCAATGCCCTCCTCTTGATGTGGCATGTGCAGTTTGTCCACCTCAGATTCAACGCATTCCTCATTCTCTTGCCCCATCCTGCTGTCTGGATTCTTATCTCCCTCATCTACAGTGTCATGTTCTTGCTCCCCCAAATTCTTGATTTCTAATTGTTGCATTCCACTCTCAGCGTACTTCACTGCTTGTGTAGTCTTCTCTGTATGCTCAACTCCCACTTTTTGGCTCTCTTTGTTAAAAAAAAGGAATGAACAGATCATTTTTATACTATGCATCAATAATCAAACACATAAAAGGTGGGTGGAGGTATTTATAAAAACACCTGCTACATCAAAGGGGAGTGTTAAGTTTGTGTTAATTCCCTTCTTGCCTCCAATTTCTGTTTCCCTAGATCATTTAGTTACTAGCAAAATAGTAAAACCTGCATTAATTGACCCATATAAAGTGCAAAATTTCTTCCCCAACATCCACATACAAATTCCTCAGACTAATCTCTACACATTTCCTTAACAATTATTAATAGTTTCAATAATTGACAATAGATAAAGGATTTTCCTTCGGTGATCACTTTGTTAATTCCCATAAAGTTTTCTTGTGTCATGACTTGGGATTTTGTCAAGAGAAAATTACTACTGGTCCGCAATTTTCAAATCATGTTGTAGATATGAGAGTTACAGTAAGTGTGGGAATGACACAGGAATAATAATTATTATTCTAAAATTTAAAGCAAAATCAGGGAATTTGCAGTCATGTGTTGTCTAGTGGACAACAAGAAGGATGGTGTATCAGAAGAAAGTGCGATGCGGTCAGAATCCCTCTTTTTGTGTGTGAAGGATGAGAAAAGGAGAAAAAAATTAATGGAAAAAGGTATAACAAAATTTTCGATCAGTTAAAATATAATGTTACCTGATGCAAATTTTTAACTACAACATAATTATGTATGAAAAACAATACACGTTTTAAAAGGACTCTGCAAGTACGTAGAGACAGAGATGACTGGGGTGGATCCAAACAATACAAAAATATTATTGTAGTCAACCTTTATACAAAAGTGAGCAAAGAAAAAAGTTTTCCCTATGATTGCCTAACTTTTTGACAAAGTAAGGAGAAAGGAATGCTTATTCAAGGAAAGCATTGGTATGCTCACCCTCCCAACAATGCTTAAGGACTACTAGCACCTTACAAAAAAAGTGAGCTGTTAGGTCCCACTTTTTAAAATAGGCATGAAGCTTGAGTGACTGAGTGACATAACCCAAATCAGGACATACCGTCTTTGCTTGGGACAATCTCCATCATTTTGTCTACAAGTTTATCACATTGGTCTTTCCAGCAATATTGTCTCACGTACTCTTCCCGAAGCTGCTTTGCCTCATCAGCCAGTTGTGTTGGTTCCTTGTTCCGCAGTTCCCTGATCTTGTCGGCCCATTCCTGTGGGTCTTCCGAATCCAATACATGCATTTTTCCTGATGGCAACTTTTTAAGTGCCATACCAAATCCACTGTTTCCACTGCTGAGGACAGGGACACCTGCAGAAATGGCACGGACACAACTTGTTCCAAAACCCTCTGCTGAAGGCAAGATGACAAGATCAACTTGGCAAAGCTGCTTTCTCCAATTTTCAGTGCTCCTTGGGACATGTTTGACAGTGAATTGACTTAAACTGATTAACCCCTTAAGTTGACTTCTCAGAACTTCGGCATTGTCTTTGGGCAAAACAACAAATATAAGATTGTATGATAAGTCTTTCAATAATGTGATTGCTTTAGCTGCAATATCACAGCCTTTAACTTTGAAATACTTTGACGGATATGTTGCACTGATCATGACATGGAACTTTTCTCCACCCTCACAACCTGTCTGAACACCAGCTAGATCATGGATGATTCCAGGTGTCATAGTAATCACATCTTTGTGCTTTCCACAATGACTCAGAGCATGTATGTAAGCATCAGCTACTTTAGGACCAATGGCAATGATAATGTCAGCTTCTTCACAAAGAGCTAACTGCAATTCATGATCTGACAACCAATCTGGATTGGCTGCATCTGTGCTGGATACTTTCTGCATGTAATTCGCCAGTTCTGCACTGATGGTATGAACAACATGAACCCACTTGCAATTCTTTTTTTCCTTTATATCTTGGGCTTGTTTTCCAAGGTTATGCTCATAAGAGTGCATGATGAGAATATCAATATCGAGATCGTCAGGAGGGTATGCAATAAGCTCCTCTTCAGAATAACCAATCCTCTTTTTTGCATTAACCAGTTCAATATTTGACTTCTTAGCCTGGTCTCTCTCTTCTTGAGTGCTCCTTGGTACAAGTCTATACACCTTCACTCTTGGGTTGTTGGCCAGTTCAATTACTAACTGATCATTTAGCATAATCTTCCAGCCCTCAGTATTTGTGGCGAGCAGTACCTTAAGTATGCCTTCCTTCTTTGACGGGATATAACTTGAATCTGAGAATTTGGAAATAGATTAGAATACTCAACACCAACATCGATGGAATCAATATTATATAACTGTTTATGTAACAGTCAAATGGAAGCTTTAACATACCCGGGCATACCCCAGGCATTTGACACCTTTTTCTTCTTGAGGGTAGGGAATTTGATAATAAAATTATCATTGTCTTGGTGCTTGCGCAACAGGGCATGAAAAATCGTCAACAGGGAAACTGAGATAATGCTTCGGGTCCCCAGGGGGCACACTCCCTTATTTGGCCTAGATGGATGTGTGCCGCTGAACAGGGTATGGTTTTCAGGGTCCTGAGTCTTACACATGTAAATAGGGTGTTCAATTTTGCCATTTTTTGGCATCTTTAGGGACCGGTCATTATTTATGTAGGGGGAGGGAAAAATATGTTGGAAAGATCAAAATTTCTGTAAGGCCCCCCCCTTGCAGACCATGTAAATAGCAAGTGACCCCCCTTCTTTATTCAATATTTACGTGATGACCCCCCCCAACCTCATATCTCCTCTTATATGCTCTACAAAGTAAAGTGCATTTACAATACTCTGTTAAGAGTGAAGACTTAATTGGTAAATAAACATACTTATCATAAGGTGATTAGTTACTTTGCATACTTTACTTATATAACCTACTCTATTACAAAATCAGCATATAAAGAGAGGAAAATTGTTGCTTAGTCCGTAGGCCTCATTATTATGCGCGGCCAATGCGTTTCGGGTCACGTGGTCCGAGAAAGTTTTTGAGGCCTAGACAAACTTGGAAAAGTGAGACATTTTGTCTCACTTGGGGTGGAGTTTTTGGAAGCGGGTGAGCTGTCAATAACTTCTCCACGCTGATGAAAGATGTCCAGCAGCCATGGAGAGTAGAGATAAAGAGGTTAACCGAGCATTTTTACTCTATGCACGTTTTCATTGTTGAAAGTCCTTTGGCCTTTCTTTTTCATTTATCTCATTAAACTAATTTGAACTTTATTTCATCTCAAAAACTATTTGTAGGCTAAGCAAAACAAAGTCACAAAAAAATTATTTGATTAAGGATGGGATGGTAAGCTAATGAAATAAGTTTATATTTATTCTTGGATATGAAAAGCTATCTTTCGTTTCTCTATATTCGCTTGCTCCTATAAATTTCTCGTTATTATTTCACTTCGAAATAATTATTTTATGTAATTTAATTTTTGATTTAGAAGCTTATCAAAATAATCGGACAGGCTGTTGAATTTGGTCTCTAAATTTGGTGGAATGTCAACAAACTACTGTTTCAAAGAAATAAAGAAATATCATTTTAATGGTTCATTTGAAAATGAACTAAAGGAGAAAATACTTACACATTATACAGTAGTATTCTTTCCGATTCAAAGAAATATTTTTGTTCTTTAATAACAGAAACCAGGTTAGTTATTTTTGTGATAGTGTCATAGTGCCGATCTTTAAGCGAAGGATATTCACACGCAAAGTTATTTACAGATTATTTCAGTTGAATGTGTGAACTTTTCAAAAATGCAAAAATGCTCATGCATGTGCACTCCAAGATTGTCTAGGCGTCTCCTGGCCGTTCGTCTCGGATACGTTACTGAAACAGTGCATTGACTGCGAAAGGCCTGGAAAGACGCCATATAGGGACTAGGCAAGGAAAATTCATAGATTTTTACAAATTGTGCCTTCATGGTGAACACAAAGTAATAACCATGCAAAATACAATTCTTTTCAAATGATTTTCCCGCAGTTGTAGAATTGGGACTACCTTCTTGTTGTTTCATCATGATTTTCTTGGGATATTGAAGTGACGCAAACATTTTGTTAAACGAACATTCAGTCAAACCAAATATTAAAGATAGGTCTGGATTCTTTATTAGCTAAAGTTTAGAGTTGAAGTTTAGAGTGCAAACAGAATTCTGCCAAATACAAAATGACTTAAGTTGTACAAAATAGTGATGCTTTAAAATAATGAACAAAAAGTAACAGGATTAGCTTAAAATTGTACAATTTAGCAGTACTGTTTCACATATATTGTTTGTGCTCTACTGTTTAACTGCTCTACCCATCTTGGCCAATGAACCCCTGTCCTGAATATACCTCGCAATCAATTGGCTGACCCCCCAAACTTCTTTATAAAAAAGTTTAGCCCCCCCCAATATCCAATCTAAAATAGCCCTAAACTTCTTTATAAAAAAGTTTAGCCCCCCCCTCTACATAAATAATGACCAGTTCCTTAACAGGGTGTGTTTGAACCAGAAGCATTTAAAATAGTGTGAAGGCTACAGATGAGCAGTCTACATTTTGGCATCAACAATTTTTAGATTTATTTCTGATATTAGTTTCAAAAAATTACCTAATTCTGTATATAAAACGAAGTGACTCAGCATCATATTATAACATGTGCCTTGTCTTAAACAGACCTTGGCTGAGAAAATGAGCAATTTTTGTCTTAAACAAGCTCAGGTTTTAAGGGTTTCAGCGGCACACCTCTACCTAAACTTCCCTTGAGTGCCCCCCCCCCCCACCATTGTTATGCATGGTTCAATTTGACCTGTTACCATTCCCACGGGGACAAGTCCAGCCCTACGAGCCCAGGGGTGGGGAATTGTTTGAAACGGTTCTGTCCCGGGGGTAGGGGGTGGGGCAAATAATATAATAAAATTGTAGGAATTTGTCAGAGAGTGGTTGAAGAAAAATAACCTATCAATATTCACGTTTTAAAATTTGAAATGAATGTTAGAGGATGATGCATACTTGAATGCATTTTTTTTTTTGCAAAAGGATGAAAGGAACATTTCTTCAGCCTAGTTTAATAATAAGACAACTTGGGCTGCATGCAAACGGACACAACATTGTTGACCAACAACTCCCAACATTAATTGTTGGATGTTACATGTTGCGTCCATCTGTACACCCTGTTGCATGTTGTTGGATGTTGTTGTGTGTTGTTGCACAAAGTTTGCAACTGGTCAAACTTTTCAGCCAACAACTCCCAACATTTCTTTTGTTCCCTGATCGCCGAACTGTAGCGCAACAATGTTGGATCCGTTTACACAGCTCTTCCAAAATTGTTGGGGCCACGCACACTCATTATGCATGGTTTACAAAGACTTATGGGTTGTATCCTTCCCACGATGCACTGTAGGTCCCAAAATTGTTGGGAGTTGTAGTATCCGTTTGCACACCATTCCTAACATGCAGACAAAAGATCCCAACATTGTTGGCGCAACAATGTTGGGAGTTGTTGCGTCCATTTGCATGTAGCCTTAAATAGACTGTATATGAAAACAGATACAAGGCTTTTTAAGGGGCCGATCATTTATTTCATCCCCCCAAAATAATTACATATGAAAATTGTACCCCCCTTGAATAATACAAGTAGTCAGCAGCATAGCGTGAGATTTTGAAGGTGCACACAGGGGAATAAACATTAGCAGGCCAAAGCTGCCCCAAACCTTGGGGAGTTTGGAGGAACACTCCCCCAGGAAATTTTTTAAATTTAGGGTCTCAGAAATGCCATCTTCTGCATTTTCTGCAGGACACTTTCAGTCAATAAAGACAAAGGAGAATTCATGCAGTAATTAGTTGTTTATTTTACCCCATCCAAGGCTGTACTCCAAGGAAAATTGAAAGGAGCCCCAGTGCTTTCAACCGGTAAGGTTTCTTTTGTTTTGTGTCCCCCAGAGTGTGAAAACAAAAGAAACCAACCCCACTATACCAGGGTCCCCCACTTCATGTAAACAGGCCCTTAATCAAGGAAATCCCAACACAAAAAAACCAATATAACGCGAAACATTTATCCCGAGTTTATGATGGAAGTGTTTCAGGAAATAAAAAAACTAATGTATTTTGCCCAGATTTCAGCTGTTTGCATAGATGTATGCATATACATGCAAGCCACATTCCTGGTAGTAGAAATAGCTGATAGGTTCCTGGGCCAAGCTTTAAAAGGGTAGTATTTTATTACTGACATAGAACTGCTCAAACAAATTTTGTTTTGTCTAACGTGGAAACGTGGATTTGCTTCAATCATGATAATTATAGTTTGACAACTCTTTTTATAGAAGACCAGTCCTGTGTCTTAATATTTCGGCTACCCTCACATTTTGTGCATTTTCAAAATTGACCTCCCAAAGACACCCCTCTTAGAAAATTGTACCCCCTTCCAACCCCCCCTCCTTCTCTCAATAAACTCTAGAAAATGTTAATAAAAATTGTGAAAATGTCTCGTTTTGTTGCTAATTTGTACAGAAATCAACTTGCTTTAAACAAGATGTATCCCCTAAAAACGTATGAGGTCGATCAGGAGCTCGGGGGTGAGGAATGTCCCCTTCTGCATGCCGGGGGGTGGGAAATAGACCACCAAGAAAAACACTGCAAATCCCCGGGAGTATGCATGGGGGGCATGGTTACAGGTCAATATGGAACCATTCATTAATGCGGAAGTTTAGAGTGGCTCGTCTGCCAACAACTCACAAACCTTGGTACTTGTTATATATACAAAGATCTGCCATTCAGTGCCCTGCAAATCTAGAACCAAAGACTCGTAATTATGCTAGATAATCTAGAGGGTTTCGATCTTCCACAAGCCATTAACCTGTTCTGACCGTGCATTTTTGCCGTCGTTTTTCGACACTCTTTTTTACCTCAAACGTCAACGCTAGCTTGAAAGGATCAGACCCTTCGAGTAAAAAAAGTAATAGGAAAAATGGAAGCAAACCTTCGGTTCCCAATGATGAAATGTCGCTTTCGGTTTTGGTTTCCATGTTTGCCCTTCAAGAACAACCGAGTTTCGTTTTCATGGAAAAGAAGGAAGTAGGTCCCATTGCCTCTCGGCCATACCAGTGACGAATGTCAGACAGTTCGCTCCGCAGACAATTCGCCCCCGACAACTAGTCCTTAGACGAGTTGTCGGGCGCAAATTTTCTGGGGGGCGAATTGTCCAGATTCCCCAGTGACGCATGTGCTTCAGGTGCTTTCATGTTCATAAACTGGGAGGTGATTATTCTTTCTTCTTAGACTCTCTTACATGCACCTGAAACTGTTATAAAAGCAAGATGGAAGTAGACCAACAAAAAGGTGAGTTCATGTTCCAGCTGGATTTTTTTGACTCTTTAGTGAGAACAGATCTGTTTTCATCGAAAACTGAGTGCAGACTGATCAGGACACATGTAACAAACGTCACGTATAAAAAATTTGTCGCTTCTTTGCGACTCGGTATCAATCGCACCGACGTCCCCAAAAGGGTATCCCAAACAAAGAAGTTTTTCATACCGAATGAGTTTATATTTCGGCTTATGAAAAGTATTCACGTACCCATGCAGCAGTATAGTGTACAAGAAGGATCGTGCGAAATGTCATTCGTCAGCACTTTCGATTTTACAACCACGACAGACCACTCCTTGAAAAACTTCTTTTAAATTTTGGGTGTTATGTTGAAATGGCAATCAAGAAACGCAAGTAGAAGGGAAATTGCCCCCGCCCGCAGGGTCCGGAGGAGGCACTCTTGTGGCTCGCGCGTAATATTAATTAGAAATAAATGAATGAGGCTGAGTGGGATATGAAGAATTATGCAGATCGAGGAGGGGCCTTGGTGGATAACACCCTCCTCGATCTGCATAATTCTTTTTATTATTCATTCAAAATATTTCCCCGATTCTGATTGGCTAAAAGCACACGTTTAATTCACCATAACCAGTTACTGATGACCAAATTTGGAAGAATTTTGGGTTTAACGAGGAGATGACGTCAAAAATGCAGCCTTCTTCAGGTTAATGAACCGTTAACCCAGAAGACCTGGGGACAAGGTTGAGTTGTCAAAAATGGCTGACACTTCACTTGTTTCAAGAGTAAGAACTACAGCTGGAACTAGACGAAGTAATAGTTAAAAACAGCAAGAAGACAACTTGAAAAAGTCAGTGCGAAATGCTGATTGGTGAAGATGACTTTAGTAGTGATGTCATTACCCTTGGCATATGTTTTTCAATGTTTGTTTACATTTGGGCTCATTTCTGCTTCCCACTCAGTCAACGGGGAGCCACAGGGGAATTAAAGGTGGAATTCAAACTGCAGAGACGTAGCTGCAAGCTCTCCTTCCTTTTTCTTCCCCGCTGCCAGAGCGCCCTGGAGAGCTTGCTCTCAGGTTATGAAATGCTTTAACAGATTCCCTATCCCGAAACTTATAAGTCTTCTAAAATTCTAGTTTAGGGATAGGGAATCTGTCAGAGCATTTCACAACAATGTTTATCTTGTTTACCTGCTGGTTTGCAAGTTTGCCGTCTGCGTTTGTCATGCACTGGTTTAATATCATTGGCATTCTGTGGAGCAGCTGTTTTGAAAGTTATGGACCAAAAGACACTCGTTAAGAGCGGATGAAGTTATAGGGTGCATATGACTGTGTATGTATAAACACTTTCTATTCTTCTGGTTTTTCTCGAAGTAAAATCGCCCCAGGCACATCTTCCTTCAGCTTCACATTTTCAATGATGTTGTTTTCTTTCAATTCCACCTTTCGTTTTGCTATTTTGACCTGTTTTAACCCCACTGAAAAATTCCACTTCACTTTCCACCATGTTTGTTTACATTTGCGTCCCCCCAAATAATCCCATAAATGCATGCGTGCCTAGTTTGGGTCCCAGGCTATCACTCTTTTGCGAAGTGAGCTATTGACTGACAACAAACAGAGCAGAACAGAGCAGGGGCAGCTGTAGTGTCAACTATAACTCGTCATATATAGTCCGATAATATTTTTTTCCACCCATAAAATTTGTTAAACTTCCGCCTAAAGGTTAGGTGTGGAGGGGTGTGGTCTTCTGTTATGGACAAGCTTTTCTTATAACGTTTAAAAATTTCCAAGGAGGCTAATTTTCTTTTTTGTTAGATCCTGAAAACACAGTAATATTAACATTGTCATTTAAATTGTAATGTAATGGTGCAAATAATGAATCGTACCCTGTGCACAGCCCCCCTCTCCCTTTGGGTTTTTTTTCTGTTCTTGAGTGAAGGGGCAGCTGTGCTGAGGGTATGAGATCAGTGTGTGTCAGTTCTCCACAAATGCTTGGAAAATATCCCCTTGGGATCTTGATAGAGGATTTATTGGAGTGTTTTATTTTTCAGTATCAGATAAACAGCCAAAACTGAAGGTCACTTTGGCTTCAGATAATGAGGGATGGGACATTGCTGTGAATGGGCAGTTGATCCTTGAGCTTGCTGCTAACCCACGAGTTAAACTCAGTGGACTTCTGCCAAAAGGCATCACTGAGAAACAAAACAAGGATGCTAAAAAGTTGGGTATTGAGCTTTTTGAGGCAAAGGATATACCTGTTCTTTTACCAAGTGACACGCTGGCTTTCCCACCTGATAGTCTTGAAATTGACGTCGTGATTTTTCACTCTTACGGACGTTACCTTGGACGGCAAGCACAAATTGTCAGGGAAAGGAAAAGTTGCAAATGGCTTCATGTTATTCACACTGTTTGTGAAGAACTTGCCAAATTTTCAGACACACCAGCAGAGCTTATAACTGAGCATGAAGTCCAAATTGAGCTGTCTAAAATTGCCGACGTTGTGATCGGAGTTGGACCAAAAGTAACTGCTGCCTATCGATCAGCGCTGCAGCCAAGTGGAAAAGATAAAGATGTAATTGACCTAACACCTGGAATCTTTTACAACTTGATCAGTACTCGGCCAACAAAAGAGGAAGGAGAGAAGTTCCATGTACTGATGAGTGGATCACTGAAGTACTTTAAAGTAAAGGGATGCGATATTGCTGCCAAGGTGATCAAGTTACTGAACAGTGCATCCTACAAATACCACCTCACATTTATTGTGAAGCCCAAGGAAAATGTTGCAGAGATAACAGAGGCCTTGCAGAATGAGGGAATTGATTCCAACCATTTTACCGTGGAAGTCTCAAATGGTGCAGAAGATTGGAGCAACTTACTTTGTAAGGTAGATCTTCTCATCAAGCCATCGAGAGCAGAAGGCTTTGGAGTAAGTGGTGTTCGTGCCATTTCTACAGATCTGCCACTCCTAGCCAGTAACTCCTGTGGACTGGGCATGGCCCTCCAGAAGCTGCCATCTGGAAGCAAGCATGTGGTGGAATCTGAAGACCCACAGGTTTGGGCCGACAAAATACGAGAAGTCAAAGAAAAGGGGTCAAAAATAAACCAGTTGGAAGCTGAGGAGCTGAGAAGTGAATATGAGAAGCAGTTCAACTGGAAGGAACAGTGTGATAAGCTGGTCACACAAATGTTATCAATGATTTCAGAAAAGTGATATGTAATCTTGTTAACAGGCAAGCACCCAAAAAGTTGTGGTTCTGCTGTAGTTATTCATTATCAGCCAGCTTGATTTGCATTGTCTTTGCAAGCATGTTAGAAACATTAGATATAAGATTAAGCAAAGCTCCCCCTGGTGTACGCCTGACGCCTGGTCGAATTGGAATTTGTATATGTCAATTTTTGAAGAGAGGGGAAAACCAGAGAACCCAGAGAAAAAACTTCTCTGAGCAAGAGAGAGAAGCAACAACAAACTCAACTTACATATGACATCCATGCCAGGATTTGAACTTGGGCCACATTGGTATGTGGGAGGAGAGTGCCCTCACCGCTCCAGCCATCCTTACTCCCCACCTTTGAAGAAAAAATTTAGGAGACTTAGCACTCGTATAGCTGGTTTGAATAGAGCCCATGCATGATGGCAGTTATTATAGAGTATTGGTATATGTTATCAATTTACACCATTTAAGTTTGTTTTGTTACGCTTAAAGCAAAAACAAAAAATTTGAAGATGAGCTATAAATTATTAATTTTAATCCATAACACATTTTCCAAAGCAGTGTTTTTTTTAAATCAGGGAATAAGGTGATATGACTGTTAGATTAACTATAAGTAGCACTGGCGGATCCGGGGGGGGCGGGAGCTGGGCCGAAAAAAACCTTTTTTGGAGACCGGCTCCCCCCCCCCCCCCCCCCCTAATCTCAAAGTCTGGATCCGGCACTGAGTAGAACATTGTTTTGATGTTCACCCCCTCCACCTACATGAATGAATTTGGCAAAAAATCAGAAAAATAGGTAAAGCATAACAAAGAACTCTTTAAAGAAGAACTCAAGTTGGATATGTCTAAGTCACTAAAGAAAGATCGGGGTCGGGGTCACTACAAGCACTTACCGTTTTTAAAATCTCTTGCTTTAGTTGGGTTCCACTTAACAGTTAATGACTGTACAGTCGAACCTCTCTAATACAAACATCGAAGGGACAGAGCGACGTGTCCGTATTATACAGGTGTCCTTAAAATAGAGGTCACTACTAATGACGTCACTTTAAAGACTCCACTTAGGCTCACACTAGTCTTTAAGCCGCATTTAAAGTTATTAATTCACAGTAAGAAGACACCGTCTTTCAGTGGCATACAACATTATACATCTCAGCTACAGACAAATTACTGCTTTAAAACGAAACGAGCTACAGTGCAATGCTGCATGTAAAAAGTTGTAACGTAAAACACCATTCTGAAAGCGTCTTTCGCTATTTTGCAAGTACAGTAAACAGTAACTAGAGTACAAAATGTAATAGAAAAGATCTCTATGCCATCAGTAGTTATTGAAGCCTTCAAAAAGTCGGTTATGTTCCTCTGTACACCTTTCATAAATCGCTGTTTGGTATACAGCGACTGGGCTTTATATCACCTTGCATAGCTCATCAGGCAGACGGGATTCACCCTGTGTAGATTCACCTGATCGGGATTCGGGATTCACCCGATCACCGCTGTGTGCTTAATAAAGACGTTAAGTTTATATGAATTTACTCTCTGGGGCCGAGATTTAGTGTCCGTTGTCCGTATTAGAGAGAGTGCGTATTGTAGAGGGTTGTTTTAAAGAAAATATATGAGAATTTTGTCGGGACATTGGAAAGTGTCCGTACCTAGAGGTTTGACTGTACTTCTGTTACATCGTTACCTACATGAGTGAACAAGACAAAAAATTAGTTAAAGCGAAGAGAGAATGAGCTCATTTTCTCTTGTTAAAGCATGACAAAGAATTCTTTAAAAAAGAAGTCGGATGCGATTGCCCTTTATCTGGCAGTCAAAATTTTATGGTGATACGTTTTTGAAATCAGTGATTACCCAACACAAGCTGTCTCCTAGCCTTAGCTAGTACGTAATCTCTAACCATTATTTCATTATCTAACTCAAAGCGAGGAAAATTGGACTCCCGTTTTTGTCTTATGTGTTGGACCGAGAAAGATAAATTAAGTCGCAAATTCATTGAAGTAAGTTGTAAGAATTGTATAAAAGGAAAGAGAAAGATGGGGGCAAGCTACGGAGAGTGGAGGTGTCGTTACAGGCACTTACGTTTTGATCAATTCGATCGTTTTAGGTCCGCACGTTTTGAACAACTTATAACTGCACTTCTCTTAGATTGAGTTACCTAAAAAGTGTTCATTCTCGTCCCCAGAGCCTCCTGGGGGTCTGAGCACAAGGGCCAGGAGGCTCTGGGGACAAGGGAAATTCTGGGGACACAGGATTTGAAGTCCTAGTTTCTAGGACGTCCAGTCATTTCTGCTTTTCTACAACGTTTCTAATAGCGTTCACTTGCTCTTACCGAAGTGTCAATGACTGTAAATTTAGGTGATTCAAAGCTTTTAAAAGAGAATCCCCAAGTTACTTTTGAATAGGAAATCATCGGAAGTCCTAAAATCTAGGACTTTAAATCCTGTGTCCCTAGAACCTCCTGGTCCTCGTGCTCAGGCCCCCAGGAGGCTGTGGGGACGAGAAAGAAAAGAGTAAAAAAACCAAAAATCATGAGCAAATCAACGTACCCAATAAAAAAGGAAGCTGAATCTCTCTCTCGGCGATTCCCGTGAAGCTCCAATGCATTCTTTACTACCCTAAAGCGACTGGAAGAAAATTCCGGGGGGTTCTGGCTCACTTCTATAAAATTGACGATCATCCATCATTAATTTTTCTCGCTGTCCTTTTTAACGAGCATGCTAGCATGCTCGTTAAAAAAGACGACCATCGACCACCAGAGATTTTTATCGACCATTCATCGATAAAGATACCGATACTCTGGCTTATGGGCTTTTTAGCAAAAATTAGCCACGATCATCGGTTATGCCTCCCAAGATTGTTTTCTCGATGATTTTTTGCTAAACGCCCATAAGCCAGAGTATCGATCTTATTTGGCAATACGATCCGTCTGTCATCCTTTGAGGAGTGGGCGATCTTATTTATCTCCTCTGTATAAACCTCATGTTTTCTGCTTCCAAAGATTCTCATTTGCCTAAGCTGATTGGTGCTACTAAACAAACATCTCTTATAATCTTCATGTGTAATACTTTTCTTTATTACAGCCTTTTGGATCCTTTTACATTTCTTTTCTTCTTTCCCTTCACCTTCCGGGTCATACATCCTGTAACTGTAAAGCTTTGCCCGAAGCCCAACAAACTCGACTATTATCTTACCACCCGCTCCATCCTTGAACATGCTGACAACCTTTTTGTTTTTACCTACCAGTAACGGGCGACCGGAGACAAAGTTGGAGGTGTCGAATAACTCATAAACATCGTTTGATATATCGGCGAAAAAATCATCCGTCACAACCTAATAAGCGAGGGAATCGGTATCTGTGAACAGTAGCTTGGCATTATCACCATATTTCGGCTTGATGTACCTGTCATGGAAATCGTACATCAGGGTTTTGCTGAGATCCAAGATACACATCCCTAGGTAGACAGGCTTGTAAAAAAACAGTGATGTTTTATGCATATGCATAGCCACAAGATTCTCATCAAAGATGGTACATCCCTCAAAGCTAGGTTTTGCAGCTAGCTTTTTAGCCTTTTTTCTACCCTTTTCACCTCCACCAACCAATCTGCCTCATCTTTAGGATGTTCTCTATGGTCTTACCGAAGACCGAGTCGTTCATTAGCTTGAAGAAATCTTTCTTTAAGTCTTTCTTTGCTTTGGCCCTCAGGCGGGTGTTGAGATCGATGTAAGGCTTTAACCAATCACGTTGAGTCAAACTAATTCCACGGTGGCTCTTTGTTACCTTTAAGCCTAAGCTTTGACACAGCTTTAACTTTTCACAATGTAGGATGTATCTCTTCTTGTCTCCCAAAGGCATGCGTTTCTCTACTCCATTAACGTTTATACGTTCTGGTGCACATAGGTAATCGTTGTGTAGGTTATGAAGGTCTTCAGGATATCCAAGGTCGATCTCCAGTATGCACCCATAGGTACCTCCGCGGGTACCTACAAAATTGCGCGCGACAATTCTGAAGTTCTTTTTCAGAAGTCTCCGACGGGAAGAGGTTTTCTCATAGCACAGCCGTAATTAGTATCAAGGTATGCGATAAATTTACTCGACTTGGTGGGATAGTACTTTTCACCCATATATTTATTATTGGCTTTACCATACCTCTTTTTAATCATATCATCGAGACACCACCCCTAATACCGTTCTGAAACATCAGTAACATATCGGGATCGGTAAGTAGTTCAAGTCTTATTTTCTTTATCTTCAGAGCCGCATCCCAAGCCTAACCAGGCGCTGTGTAATAGTGGGCAGGATCTAAAGGATAGTTTTTCATACAGACGTCTCTAAAGTTTTCAAAAACATCGGTGAGAAGGAGGACGTCTGTTTTGTTATATAGCTCAAGGTAATCTCGAAGGGTGCTGCACTCGAACACATTCCAAACACAATCCGCATGAAAATAATCATCATCGGTTACACCCTCTTCATTCAGGTTTGAGTAGAACGCGGATGGTGGTGGAAGATCGTACGGAAAGGAAGATCTTTTTGTGTTTATCTTCTTTTCCGGATTCATCGGTGAACATTATCTGTGTATTTTTGAAACCGGTGGTATCGAGATTGGATACTAACTTATCAAGACTCGAGGCCATAAACTTGAATGAATCGATGAAACGTAGACCTCTTTTTACTTGGATCTCTTTCGTTTTTCCATCGTCTTCTTATGTAAATGTATCAATAATCACCTCTTTTGTAAAGATGATGTATTTCTCTTAGTTTTTAGGTAAACAGTCTACATTTCCCTCTTCAACCCCGAGGTTTTTAACAAGTAGATGCACATCATAAGCGCTCAGATTGTGAAAGACAACGGGGATTAAAGTAGGTTTTTTACAATCTAGGTTACATTTGTTATGGGCGGCTCCACGAAATCTTCCCGTATCCGTGACAATGGTCCCTAACCTTACCTCCTAACCGACCCTTTTCGAGATCGGCGGGTGAAAAGGGCATTTTACATAACCAGCACTTGCGGGAGTTTTCAAATATCCTTCTCTCCTTTTTACCGTAGATCATAGGTACCTTCTTTTTGAACCGAAGATAGATATCCTTGATCTCGTCTGCGAGAGCGTCAACAAATATCGGAGATACATCCTCTTCCTCGGATTTTGCTGTATAGCAGACTAGCTTAGGTTTATAAACCCTTATCATTGAAGCACTTTATATAGTAACAGAAGCTTATAGGCCTGTGATGTTGACATTTATTAGTATAAGCGTTTGTAGGGTTTGGTTGGCTGGTATCTATCGGTTCAGTTAAAGACTCAAAACCCGCATAGATAATGAAAGGGTGGCAAACCTTATTGTAATAGTGTTTGAAAAAAACGTAGGACCCTTACTCAGGCATAGCTATCTTTACAGCTTCGTTCTTTCCACAATACTCATCATGTTTTACCAACAGCTCTTGACTACCGAAGGGGTTAAGACATCTATCACAGAAGAACTTTTTATTCTTTTTCTTAGATATCTGTGAAGATAGTAGCCTACTCATATCATTAATTAAGCGGTAGTGTTGTTTGTCATCGGTTGAGATTAAAAGGAGTCTTACTATACCGCTACAGGCGGTGGGAGAATACTTTTTACTTATTCTCAAAGGGAAGACACCGCCAGGGTTTTCATAACCGAATACGTTTACACCCACCTCAGGGTTCATCTTTTCGAAACGATCTATATCGCTAGCGCCGCCCTCGTTATTACACACCTTAACAGCAAATTCTATCCCTTCCCAATTTAAAGCTTCTGACTGCTCCCTCCAGAGGGATGTTACACGTTCGGAGTTTTTTTTGACTTGATTTAAAGCGCGGGTGATAAACCACTTAAAACAGTCATCATCTCCGTTTTTCATGTTTGTTATAGCCTTTTTATTCTTCAAACCGGTGGACGGGGGATATATCTGTTACCTCTTAAAGGTTTATACTCTACAGTGTGTATAGTCAGATCAAAAACAGACATAAATTGCCATCCGCTACCACGGCTCTGAAAGGTAGCTAAGTTTTCAAGAATCCTTCCTACCATCGTATTAGAAAGACCGTTAATGTCGGTACCTTCGAGGATTTCATGGATCCTTGATGCGAATGGTGCTTTTGTGTGGATCGTTTCACCCGTCGATAGGTTTGTTCTCGCCATGTTACAAAAGAGGACCATCTTTACCTTTATCTGCTTATGTTCATCAAAAAATCTAACAACAGCGTTTTTTACAGCCGATAAAAAAGATGATGGACTATACCCTTCAACCCCATCGAAAACGTACATTTGTGCAAATTCTTTCCTTCCTTTTTTTGTAGAAAAGAGACATCGATCGGAGGTGGTCCTTTTTTTTGCAACTAGCGGATGGCTTAGTAACTATGTTTACTTTATCCATGCGTTTTTTAAACTCTACAATAGCCGCTTCACCCGCTTGATTTTCGAGTACCGCCTTTTTTGATTCATCTACCTTTTTCTTTCCTCATGTAGCGGTTTCTTCTACCTTTTTACGAAACAAACCCCCCATCGACCGGAGGTCGTCAACCATTTTTTTCCCCCAATCAAACAGCCTTTTGATTCTTGGATGAGGGGCCTTTTTTAGGAGACCCCGGTGGTGGCCTTGGAGTAAGTCTACTCATAGCGGTAGGTGCCAGTTGTGCCAAAGCTAGCAGAAACCTCTGTGGCTTGGGAGGTTTTGGAGTAAGGTTATCCATAGGGGGAGGAGGATTTCTCGGTGCTGGGACTGGAATGGGCCCCCTCAACGTTTTTTGGGTGGTTCGTCGGCCACCGGTCGACCTTTTTAGGTTCGACTACAGTGGTGTCACTGCCGGCGTTTTGAACAAGTTCAAAAAGCTCGGCTTTCCGAAACCTAGTATAGTTCTTAATACCGAGATCCTTAGCTTGTTTCGAAGCTCTTTTACAGTTACCTTGTCCATATTTTAACCTCTTCTATATATTACTACAATATTTTTTAAGCCACTTTTTTTCATTCATCCGAATGAAAAGAATAACAATCTGCTTATCGACTATATAGCCTCTATAGTAAATTGGCCTATACCCGCCGGGTGAGAGAACTTTACCGGCTCTCCTTTTTTTCTGCTTTCTTTTAGATACCTTTTTTTCACGACTTCGCACAGAGTATATGAGACAGGAGAGGAGAGAAGCGAAGGCACCGCGAACGAGCTCGGACGTCTGAGAATCAGGGTAGCTTCTGTCAGGAGCCCTGTTTCTGTGCGGTCGGAGTCGATATCTTCTTTGAACCGTGGAGTTAAAAGTACAAAGTCATTGATCATAAAATAATTTGAAAACCAGCAAAAACGTGCCGAGCAGTATTTCAGTGGCCTCCTGGTGCAAACAGTGTGAAGCCAAGGGTGTAGCCTTTATATGGCGTGTATCCTCTTTCAACCCCCTTCCCCGCCCTCAAAAGCGTTTTTAAGTCTAAAAAATAAATAAACCCCGGGGGCGTAAGAGAGGATTTACGGCAATGGTAATTGAACGACGGCTGAGTGGAGTGCAAATTGGTTTGGTGGCTTGTTCCTTAAGCGTGATTTTATTTTCGGACGAGCGTGCTCGAGTTCAATTCCAAATCACAATGATCACAATTATGATTTCAGATCAAAATTGCACCGTACGAAGTCGTGTTACCACAATTATAGTACAGTCGACTCCCGATAACTCGAACCTTCAAGGGAGATGGAAAAAGGTTCGAGTTATCGGGAGCTCGAAGAAAATAGCCGGGAGTAAGGAAAAAAACAGTTTTTAATGCACAGTGAGCATTTTAATCACATTTAATTGTAGAAATGTTGAGTGAAAATTGAAAGATACTTTTAGATTATAAATCAGAACGTAAAGTAACAAAACGTTGCCTAAATAGAGCATGCATTGCACTTTTTGAGAAGTAAAGCTATTTCACGTTAGATTTGTTACAAACAACATCAGCCTCCACTATCGATCCACTAGTAAACTATATGCCTACAACACGTCAATGGTAATTCAAAATTCAATGTTTCAGAGACAGTACACTGTCTTTTCCTGACTTTTTAAGGGCTCAAAACATGGTTCGAGTTATCGAGGGTAAAATTATATAGAAATGATCTGAGGGGAAACAAAAATTACTTCGAGTTAGCGGGAGTTTCGAGTTATCGAGGGTTCGAGTTACCGAGGGTAAAATTACAGTAAATGTATGACGGAAATCCAGGAGAAATAGATTTTGGTTCGAGTTAGCGCGAGGTTCGAGTTAGCTGGGGTTCGTGTGTGTGTGTGTGTGGGGGGGGGGGGGTACTGCCATATATGGGCTATATAGGTATGTGCCGCTGTGAAGGGTATGGTTTTCAAGCAGTTTACTCTAGGATAGGGTATATAAAGAGAGTTTGGGTCTAGAATAGGGTATCATTTTTCAGGAAACCGATCAGTTGGTTGAAGATTTTATCTAGACTAGGGAAACAGCTACTCTAGGATAGGGGGGATTTGGGGAGTTTACTCTAGTATAGGGTAGCAAAATTCAGCTGAACTAACTCTGGTATAGGTTAAGGGTTCCAGGGTCCCAGCGGCACATCCCAATCCTGAAATTCCTATAGTACCCCCGGGGTGTTATCGGGAGTCAACTGTCAACTGCACTACATGAGAAATTTCTGCAATTTGATTGGCTCAGGGCAGAGGTATTTCCGCTTAATTTGGAATACCTACATGTGAAAATTACAAACGTTTTGCGAGTAGTAGTATAAACAAATAATAGCATGATTTGTACGTGATATTTTAAAATTGTCTCAAATTTCACTCGCCTAACGGCCCGTGAAATTACGTATAACAATTTCAAAATATCACTCGTGGTATTTATGCCAAATATCACTACTGATTATGCTATTACCTACACAAATACAAATATCACACAATTTCAGTAGTTGAGGGAAACTCAGGATTTTAGTCAGTAACAGTATTTTATTGATCGTTGCCGGTTTATTTAAAAGTGGACCCGGAAACGCTTTACACCTCATTTTCTATAACAAACAGAAATGATGCGATTTAGAACACACAGGCAAAAATAGTGTGATTCGTGAATGGTCACACTACTGAAAGCCAATCAAAGTCTAAGGATTACGAGTGAATTCGAAATGGATGTAATCGGCACTGTAAACGATAAAACCAGGTTCCGGGAAAAAAGGATCAGTAAACGCAACACTGAATTACCAGCAATTGCCACTTTCTTGGCTTGTTTGGCATTTTCTTCTTGGTCCTCTCAGTGATACCTTTACATAGACGCCTTATCCTCTATCGCGAGGTTTTCTGTCGAAAACTAGACGTGCAGCATAACCCGCCGTTTAAATCTTTTACATGGACGAAACAAATAGTTAATTGTATTTATGGTATTTTAATTAAAATATTGGCTTAACTATAATTTAAGAAGAAATACATCTAAGTACTAGTACGACTTCACTTAGGCCAGGGCCAAACGTCGAACTTTTCGTCAAACGAACCAAATTGTCATTTGGATCTACCGTAAATTTAGCGAAGTTCAACTGTAAGCTAGATCAAGGTCGAACTTGGAGCTTAGAACTAAGTTGAAAACGAAAAAACACGACGCAAAAGAGTTTAGTAGTACGGACGGTTTTCGTTGTAATGATGAACAGCTTTTTGAACTGAAAAATACTCTGCATCTTCTGTTTACATAGTCTATCCGTCTATAGAACGTGTTTGGTGATCCAAACTCAGTCAGACGAACTTAATCTGAGGCAATAACGTCGAACTTATCAAGAACTTAAATCACTCAGTTTAGTTCGTCGCATGGAAATACGTTTGGCCTTGGCCTTATTCTAGGATTAAACATTGTTTAACAATGCATTACATTTAAAAAAAATTAAAAAAGTTAAATATACAATCTCTATCACAAATACTCTACAGACAGGAGGCCACGCGGCCTACTGTTTATGTGAAAGGCCAACCAAAAGCAATAATCAGTCGGGGGCTCTGTATAATAAAGCATGCAATATTTTAGACCGAAGTTTTGGGAAACCTCACAGAGACCTACGCAAAACTCCCAGAGGCACAGTATCGTTGTAGCGTTCATTTTCGTTACAAAACGTTAGTGCAGTCCCATGTGGTTGCTGGTGATGGATGCACTTCGAACTGAAACTCACTCATACAGTAGTTGGTGGATCCGTGTGGCTTTGCAAACTAAACCATGTGCGAGGTTCGAAGTGCGCTAATCAACTAACTACCACATGAAAAGTCTATGAGACTGTATTTGTGAGACAAACGATAAACACAGCCTATCATACATAAGTCACGTGAATAACTTCTTCAATTCAGAAAGTCACAGAAGTTGATTTTTTTGCTTGGTCTTTGAATAAATTTTATGGATACAGTTTTTGAAACTTCATGATCCTTTGCAATTCAATAGCATTAATTTATACAAATTAAGAATTTAGTTATAAAGTCGATCACCGCGCTTTCGCAAATATGTTCGTAAGAACGAAACACAGTCATCTAAAGTTTAAAACACAATAGTTATTGGTCACCTGCCCAAAGTGCTATTTTGTATATATTAATGATGCAATGTATACAATTCAACCCGAATTTAAAACAGTACAGAAGGTCTAGGACCGTCTAGTCACAGGTGCTATACAACACGACCAAACCAGCGTTCGCGCGATGACCTTATGACCCAACCAAAACGGACTAGAAAGTCTAGACGAAACCTAAATCCTACCGAATCAAATAAAAATCTTTAAATTTCTTTTACAATTACTACATTCGATTGTTTCCAAGACTGCCGTACAAAGCAAAGTAAGTATATCAAACAATAATGTCAATATAATACAATACAATAACCAGGGTTCCATCTAGGGTATTTGAGGGGTAGAAGTTTCCCCCCCCAAAAATATTGTTATCATTACGGTCTATAGGTAACTATATTGGAAAAATCATCCAGACGCGACGAGTTCATTGCACGCACTGTAACATTTCTCAAAATTGTGTCTCAAAATGCACCAGATTGCATCTCAGCGCATATTCATTTAAAAAAATTTCTTGAGGGGGCATGCCCCCGGACCCCCCTAGGAAGCTCGTGACTTCTCCCCCAAACGATAAATCCTAAATAGAACCCTGATAACTATTCTGACATAATCAGACAACACAATCAGTACGGTGGAATCTCGGATATAACCTCGGATAAAACGACGGGCCAAGGAACTGGCAAAATTTGTTCGCTATAACGAGGTTTCGTTATATCGAGGTTCTTTTTCATATATTTTATTATTACTGATGTGAAGATAATCGTTTGCTATACCGAGGACTTCGTTATATAAAGGTTCGTTATATCGAAGATCTTCTTTAGTACTTTTCTCTTTTAAGCACATATTTTACCCGGAAGTGAGATTCTCCTGCCCCGGTTCGAGTAGTCGCACTGTAACGTACACTGGTTTTCCGTTTTCTGAACCTCTGTGCCCAAGTGTAAAATGATTTCAAATTCGCATTTAACAGCATGATATATCCTTAACATTTTTAAAAATGGCTATTACTCATTACTATTGATCATTATTTCTATTTAAACCTCCACTGTTGACCATCATTGACATTATCATAATCGAGACAATCACTCAGTAAAATATTTTTGGGTCAATTTGATGACGTGCCGAAAATGATCATTCTTTCACATTTTAGAAATTAGTCCTGAATATTCCCAATTTTCTACCTTGAAAACCTCAAGTTCTTGTTCCCTTTACATGTAAATCTTCCCTGACAGAGGGAGTTCCACTCTGAGTAAAATGCACACACTGCAATAAAAAATGACCAGTCATACACTTAAAGTACAGTTATGTGGCATCATGTTTCTAGATAGATTTCAGTTGATTGAGTACTTTGAATCTCCCTTTTCAACCCAGTCCTCCAGAATCTCTACGACGTCCATCCTCTGCATGTGTTCGTCCTTTAACATTTCAATAAGCTTCTCCACGGTTGGTTCTCGAGTTGTTTTCCACCAATGCGTAAGAATTTGATGGGTCGGATTTGAGTTTCGCGGCTGTCCACAAAATTCTATAAAGTCTCTTTCAATTTCCATTAGCTTTCCAAGCATTCGAAAATCGTTGAAGTAAAGGTCACTTGATGTATTCAGTTTCAAGCAGATCCTACCAAGAAGAGCATAAGGAATGTTTTTGACACTGGTTGACAATCTCGACCTCTTCGTTTGCATACTAACACCTCCATCGACTGCATCATGCGCAATGTTCTTTTGGGCCAAAGAATCAGTTTTCTGATCTGTAATACCGGTCTCCTCTACGCTTGCCTTTGTAACGCCACTGCCTTCCTCTTGTTGCGGCATGTGCAGTTTGTCCACCTCAGATTCAACACATTCCTCATTCTCTTGCCCCATTCTGCGGTCCGGATTCTTATCTCCCTCATCTACAGTGTCATGTTCTTGCTCCCCCAAATTCTTGATTTCTAATTGTTGCATTCCACTCTCAGCGTACTTCATTGCTTGTGTAATCTTCTCTGCATGCTCAACCCCCACTTTTTGGCTCTCTTTGTAAAAAAAAAAAGGAATGAACTGATCATTTTTATACATATGCATCAATAATCAAACATATAAAAGGTGGGTGGAGGTATGTATAAACACAACTGCTATATTAAAGGAGAGTAGCTGAGAGTGTTAAGTTTGTGTTAACTCCCTTCTTGCCTCCAATTTCGTTTCCCTAGATTATTTACTTACAAGTAACATATTAGTGAAACCTGCATTAATTGACCATATAAAGTGCACACGGGTAAAACTAGTCCTTTCTTCCCTAAAACCCACATACAAATTTCTCAGACTAATCTCTATACATTTCCTTAAGAATTATTAATAGTATTAATAATTGACGATATATCAAGGATTTTCCCTTTGGTGATCACTTTGTTAATTCCTAAAAAACTTTTTTTGTGTCATGACGTTGGATATTGTCAAGAGAAAATTACTATTGGTCACTCCTGGGACTTAATTGGGAGGGTTAATAAAAAGCCGATTTTCAAATCATGTTGTAAATATTATAGTTAGGGTAAGTGTGGGAATGACATACGAATAATTCTACCATTGAAAGCAAAATCGGGGAATTTGCAGTTTGTCGAGTGTGGTCTAGAGGACAACAAGAAGGATGGTGTATCAGATGCTGGTGAGTTTAAGCTTAGCAAGATGCAGCCTGAATTCCTCTTTTTATGTGTAAAGGATGAGAAAAGGAGAAAAAAATTAATGACAAAAAGGCATGACAAAATTTTCGATCAGTTAAAAATTAAAGTGACCTGATGCAAATTTTTAACTACAACATAATTATGTTGCACTCTGCAAGTAAATAGAGACAGGGAAGACTGCGGTGGATCCAAACAATAAAAAAATATTGTAGTCAACCTTTATACAAAAGTGAGCAAAGAAAAAGCTTTCCCTGTGATTGCCTACCTTTTTGACAAAGTAAGGAGAAAGGAATGCTTATTCAAGGAATTAGTACTGGTATATGTTCACCCTCCCAACAATTTATCCTTAAGGACTACTAGCAGTCTGCGAAAAAAATAAGCTGTTAGGTGCCACTTTTTTAAATAGGCAAGAGGAATGAGTGACTGAGTGACATAACCCAAATCAGGACATACCTTGTTTGCTTGGGACAATCTCCATCAATATGTTTACAAGTTTATCACATTGGTCTTTCCAGCAATATTGTGTCATGTACTCTTCCCTAAGCTGCTTTGCCTCACGAGCCAGTTGAGTCGGTCCTTTGTCCCTGAGTTCCCTGATCTTGTCGGCCCAGTCCTGTGGTTTTTCAGAATCCAATACATGCATTTTTCCTGATGGCAACTTCTTTAGTGCCATACCAAATCCACTGTTTCCGCTGCTGAGGACAGGAACACCCGCAGAAATGGCACGGACACAAATTGTTCCAAAACCCTCTGCTGAAGGTAAGATGACAAGATCAACTTGGCAAAGCTGCTTTCTCCAATTTTCAGTGCTCCTTGGGACATGTTTGACAGTGAATTGACTTAAACTGATTAAACCCTCAAGTTGACTGTTTACAACTTCAGCATCGTCATTGGGCAAAACAACAAATATAAGATTGTACGATAAGTCTAATAATGTGATTGCTTTAGCTGCAATATCACAGCCTTTCACTTTGAAATACTTTGACGGATATGTTGCACTGATCATGACATGGAACTTTTCTCCACCCTCATACACTGTATGAACACCAGCTAGATCATGGATGATTCCAGGTGTCATAGTAATCACATCTTTGTGCTTTCCACAATGTCTCAGAGCACGTTTGCAAGCATCAGCTACTTTAGGGCCAATGGCAATGATTATGTCAGCTTCTTCACACAGAGCTAACTGCAATTCATGATCTGATAACTCTGGATTGGCTGCATCGGTGCTGGATACTTTCTGCATGTAATTCGCCAGTTCTTCGCTGATGGTATGAACAACATGAACCCACTTGCAATTCTTTTTTTCCTTTATTTCTTGGGCTTGTTTTCCAAGGTTGCGCCCATAAGAGTGGATGATAACAATATCAATATCAAGATTGTCAGGAGGGTGTGCAATGAGCTCCTCCTCAGAATACCCAAGCCTCCTTTTTGCATCTACCAATTCAATATTTGACTTCTTAGCCAGGTCTCTCTGTTCTTGGGTACTTTTTGGTACAAGTCCATACACTTTCACTCCGGGGTTTTTGGCCAGATCAATCACCAACTGATCATTTGCTGTTATATTCCAGCCCTCGGCATTTGTGGCGAACAACACCTTCAGTATGTCTTTCTTTTTTGGAGGGGCATAACTTGAGTCTGCAAAATTGGAATAGATTTAAGTCTCTAGAACACTGAATAATAATATAATGTTGTTTACTTAACAATGATTGAATTCGGCTGTCGTACGATGTAAAGAGTTATGCAGATCTCGGACGACGTTATTCATCAAGGCTGAAGGCCAAGATCTGCATAATTCTTCAGATTTTACAACAGCCAAATTCAATTAATGTTTTAATATTCATTCAAAGTATTTCTAAGTTCTTAACATGTCTACTTCCTTGTAGACTTTCTAAATAAATGTTTTATGTTGCAACAAACAATAATGGACCAAAAATTGACCATTGAGGCACTCCACATTTAATGTATTTAGAGGATGAATTATAGCCATTGTACTGTACAAACTAAGTTCTACAAGAAAGATAACTTTACAGTTCTTAGTCATTGATATTCGCTGCGGAGCGACCGTAAGGAGCGAGCAGTAACATAATCAGGATTTAAGGGAAATATATAAGGTGGGACGAATTCTCGAATTCATCACTTTCTACCAGAATGCATTGCATTTAACCAGACTGCATTGCGGTACTTTCTTACCAGAATGCCTTGCGCCACGAACAACTCAAATAAAAACACGAGGAAGTTCGGTGGTTGCGAACGTGCATCGTTCGCTGCCCAGACTCATAGCTTCTTTGTGGCAAATTTTCTACAGTACGGTTAGAGGTCTAACCAAATTTAAGACACGCAGGAGTCTTTCAGATGAGTACGATGGTTAGCTTGGAGATTGTATTTCAATTCAAGAGCCTTTGACTCGTCCAGGCGTTAAACTTGACGAGAAGATGAACATTTGCTCTTCGACTCCGCAACACGGGGGATATACAAATTCCAGCTTGCTAGAGGGTGACGTGAAAGTGTTTAAATGTCATGCCATGCTATTCTTAAGAACCTGTATGAGCCGAAAATGGATGTGATTTTGACCATTAGCTCAAAATAACAGCGGAAATCGAGGTGACAAAACATATGTGCGTCCTACTTTACACACGTTTTGTAAAGCATAATTTTGTTCTTTCATTCATTCATTGCAATGGAATATGCGTTTACATTGTGTTTTTTTTACTGTTAATAGCTCGGTTAATGCGGCTCGATCATCTTGCCGGCGAAAGTTTCATGGAAAAGGCATTAAATTAAAGACTTTTCCCCAAGGTTACGTAATCAGCCGCTGTGGTGTAGTGGTTAGGTTCAGTCGAGTCCTTCTCAACTCTTTTGATCCTTCTTTCTTTTTCCCGTGTTTTTTGTGTTGTTGTTTTCTATAAATATATACATAAATAACTGTTATTTAATAAAGTGCAATAAACGGCAAGAAAAGTATCGTGCTTCCAGACAAAAGATAGTACACCGTATATTAAATATATGGATAAACAATCTGAATTTCTATCATTTCCTACAATTAACTGTGGGAAAACCAGAGTTGATAATCGCTTGATCATTTTCGAAACAACGTTCCCACGAGTTCTCTCTGTAGACTGATAGTAATTGGTACTTTCCAACATGCAAATGGGACATTCAATGTCATTTTCGATTCTTTTAAGTCTCACTGCCTAACTAATGCCAGTATCAACGGAATGTGCCACAGCATTGCTATCTTTTAGATACCCTAGTTTCTAATCACATAGATGTAACCTTTTTTGCAATAAACTCAATATGTAGTGGCTAGGAGCAATTTGTGAAAGGTGCTTCACACACAGATTTCCTATAAATATGACATTTGCAGCTTATTTACTGGAAAATGCAATTTTAGACTACGAGTAGTCCCCACTTTTCCACAGGGATAGTAAAGCGAGCGAAAAGCGACCGCGCGTGAAAATCACCCCACGCGAGAAGCGGCGGGGAGAGAGAAAAATGAGGGACTACAGACAAAGCACAAGCTTTTGACCTTTCACGGCCTTTCCTTCTCTCATTAAGCTGTCAATGCTCTTGTCATCGGTAGATTGCGGGCGATATTTATTGCAAGTGAAAGAAAACCCATATACTAATTTTCTTCGCGGCTGCTTCGCGTGAAGAGCTTGATAGTGTAAAAGGGGGGATCGGTAGACAACACACGACTTTTACCTCATGCCAAAATGCTACTTGTTCCAATGAATTTTTTTCTCTGACGGTTAGATTATGCTCTGGAGAAAAATGTTTTGACTGAGCAAATGTGATTTTTGTCGCTTATTTCATACTGAGAGCTCGTGATACGCATATTAATTTTCTGCAGTTATTGTTTATGGTCGGCATGGTTCATTTTATTTGACCTGTTTTGAAATGTAAATTGGCTCTTCATTGCGGCTAAAGAAGGGGTTTAGGTTGTTTAATTTCTCCGGCAAAGTGCCTCTTGGATCTCAATAATTATGAGCGATTTTCTTTTTGTCCGTGAAGGTGACGGTTTCCTGCAATGTTTTGAAATAATAATAATAATAATAATAATAATAATAATAATAATAATAATAATAATAATAATAACTTTATTTCTATAGCGCTCTTATCCTATGTTCAAGGCGCTTTACAGTGATGTAAACAACATTATTGAAAAATATTTACAAATTTACAACCATATCCTATTATATTTACAATGAGTAAAAAAGGAAAAAACTAAAACTAAAGCAACTATTAAACCATTTCATTCATAATGATTAAAAAAGGGAAAAATTAAAACTAACGCAATATATACAAATCTATAAAAACAATGATCCGTTATTACTGAATTTAGTAAACAAGTACGTCTTAAGTGATCTTTTAAAACTCGAGCTGGTGTTGGACTTCCGAATTTCCGTAGGTCTTGGTATACGATCTAGGTTGCATTAAAAGTTCATTACTAACAGACCTCAATGATCTAGTATGGGAACGATAATGTAGTTTCTGAGCTAAATACCTAGGCGATGTCCCATTCAGTGATTTATACACGAGGAGCAGAATCTTGAAAATAATACGATATTGAATCGGTAGCCAGTGAAGCTCATACAAAACAGGTGTGATATGCTGAAACTTTCTCACTTGCAACACAACTCTAGCCGCCGTGTTTTGTACATACTGCAATCTTTGTAACTGATACTTAGGTAGGCCGTATAGTAATGCATTACAGTAATCTAGTTTCGATGTGACAAATGCATGAACAGCAACTTCTGCTGATTCTTTAGTGAAATACTTCCTAATTCTAGATAGGTTCCTGAGATGATAAAATAGGGAGCTTAAGCAATGACGACGCGGACGGCAACGAGAACGGCAAAAAAGCAATAGGTTTGATTAGCAAAACAACAACTTTGCACGTGCATCACGCTTTTTTTGTACATTTCTTCGCCGTCATTGCCCGATTACAACGTGAAAGTGCCCGAATTCACGTTTTGTCGAGGACGGGAACACACGACAACAACTTTCTTTTATTTTCCTGAACTTTGATACAGTCCTTTAGAATTCAACTGTAAAAACATTTTCCAACATTTGACGAAGTAAACGAGATGGAATAAGCGCGATAAAGTTTGAAGCGGTGCAAATTCACTTTTAAGTGACGTTTTTGTAGCCGTCGCCGTCGTTGTTGCTTAAGCTCCCTATTGATGATCTGCAGATCATAGACACATGTGCATGAAAAGACATGTGCTCATCAAAGATAACACCAAGACTCCTAGCCGACTGAGAGGCAGCCACGCTCTCATCACCAACACATAAGGACTGAAAGGATGGAGACGGACGATACTTTGAGTGGATGAGCATGACCTCCGTCTTGTCGTGGTTTAGCTTCAATTTGTTGAGATCCATCCAGCGACATATTGCAGAAATGCAGTTCTCGACCCTCAATTTAGCAGCGTCCACATCCACCGATTTGAATGCAAAGTATAACTGAGTATCGTCGGCGTATAGATGATAATCTAAGCTATAAGATCTTATCACTTTAGCAAGTGGCGCAGTATATAGAAGGTAGAGTACAGGTCCCAGAACTGAACCTTGGGGAACACCTACAGGAAGATCTCGTACCGTAGAATTCGCCTCATTGATGTTTAGAAACTGAGTTCTTTGAGAAAGATAAGAATCGAACCATTGCAGTACAGTTCCTCTGATGCCAAATGATTTCTGCAGTCGTGCCAGCAGCAAGGAATGGTTAACGGTATCAAATGCTGCCGACAGATCCAATAAAACAAGGAAAACATTCTCGCCCTTATCCAATGACAGCATAATGTCATTTGTAACAGTGAGAAATGTAGTCTCGGTGCTGTGAAAAATCTTGTACGCTGATTGAAGAGGCTCGTGTAGATCATTTTCGCTGTCACGCTGGGCCCAGCTCGCTAGAGTTTTCTTAAAGCAAAGAATTTTTCACTCCCATTTGTTTTTCTAAGGATAATGTGTGTGTTTGGACTGGAGCGCGTAGTTTCTCCCTTTTGAATAAGTTTATAAGCCTTGCGACTGTTCTGTTATTGTCACTTTGTGATCAGGCAAGACCATGGTTTTGGTTCTCCACGCGAACCTCATCAATTGCCGGTTTGGCTTTCTGCTTATATTAGTTGCTTTTACAAGAGCAACTCTAGTTATTTGTTCTGTCCTGTTATTTGTTCTGCTCTAGTTATTTGTTCTGGAAATAGTGATTATCTCGAGTGTTGATAGCGGCTGGCGCGTTTTTGACAGATGTTGACAGATTTCCATGGAAAAGCCAATAAGAGTTTTGCGTTGTGAGAGGAATGCATAGGTTCACAAGCCTGGGTCTGTAGTCCCCCATTTTTCTCTCTCCCCTCTGCGTCTTGCCTTTCTCGAGTGAAGTGATTTTTAGGCGCGCTTGCGTTTCGCTCGCTCTACTCTCCCTGAGGAAAAACGGGGACCACTCGTAGTCTAATGCAATTATGATGCTGTCCTGGGGTGGGGCATTTGCACACTTTTTTATGCCCCATCATGGGGTTTTGAAGGAACTGTCTGCGCTTCCATGGGACATTGGTATCTTTTCCAAAAGAAAGACAAATGCCTGGGGGAGGAGGGATGGGCATGCTTGCAATTGACTGAGCCATAACATTATTAAGGGAGAATCAGCTTTTATCCGCGAGCCCATGAGTAGGAAGGAGCCTATATCTCCCATAAAAGCGCTTGGAGTCAACCCTTTCCCGAGTAGATTTTATAATAAATTTGAAAGAATGGTTCCCAGAAGAGGCTTCGCACGTCAACAGTGAAAAGAGACAATCACAACGAAGTAATGAAAGTGCTACAGTAATAGCCCGCGTATAAGAACCTGAATTTTTCAATTTAGCCTAAATAGGTTCTTATATAAATGGTACTTAAAGCAAATTTAGGCTATCGAGGTTCTTAAAATAGGTTCTTATATTCTCATATGAATTTCATCTGAATATACTATATATATTATAAATATCATCTCATAATACAGTATAAATCATTTATTTGTACCATACAGCAATGCCTCCTTAACAAAACATAACAAAGAAACTCATGTTGATACCAAATTCATAACAAGCTCAAGCAATGAGGAGAAATGAAAAACAACAATAAATTAAAAACTGTATAGCTCTAGCCCTAGCCTGCGATCATGCCCTCTCCCTTTATCTCTGTAATCTGTGTTCGGGAGGAGGGCATGATACATTTCTTTTACAGATCACATGCAAAAAAGTCAGAATCTGGACTTTTTTCTGATTGGATAGGAAACAATACGGATGATGTGCGCTGTTCCGATTGGCCAAAACGCCGCCATCCGTTAGTTGTTGTTGATTTCAGTCTGCATTTTTGCTTGCTTAATGAGCAGTGAATACACACGCGAGTTCGTTATGAAATTTCTGCCGGCTCAGTTTTCTTGCCAGTTTGAAAAATGTTTAAAGAGAAATTTCATCCATTGAAACATTTTCCATTTCGTCGTATACTAAAAATTG